GTTTAATAATAATTGACTACACTGTATAATAATCAAATTTAACTTTGTTTCACTGTTAATACAACAAGATATTAAAATTTCAACTGATATTCGAATATCTATCGCCTTATTACATCGCTGCATCGCAACGTACCGTACTGTCACTTTAACTTGACCTCACTTGACTATATCAATATGCTCGTAGGTAACGTTTATATATGACAATCGAAGGCGGTAGAAAATTCGCCGGAATTCCATCGAAGCCACTAATATTATTCTCGAAGCAACGCCACGTCTGGAACGGCTGCTAGCACACGTCGAGTTAGGCGTGGTCTTGGTCACGTCACAATTGATTTATGACTACCAGCGGCGGCTGGCATTATTTTTTTCAGGGCATGATTTACAACAGTACAGACGCACCAGGAACATTTTCAGTTTAGGTACAGCATCAATGCGACTGTTGTCACATCGCCTTTGACAATGTCTTCCGCAGTAGCAGACGAAGTGTCAGGTATAAAAAACCTGCAGACCAAGGCTAATAAACCCAAAAATATCGGACAATTTGTTAGACACCGGCCGTAAAAGCCTACACAGGAATCGCACACTGAAATGTAAAACCACAATAATCCTCAGTTCGCACAAGTTTTAACTTCTGAGGGTAGCTATCTGGCGACAGCTGGTTAATGGGAAAACAGAGTTCAAATCTAAGTGCTCCGAATTTTTCTACAACATATACGTATGTTCTTCTGTATAATAAAAGAAAGGTTTTTCCGCAAAAACTCATTCTTCTGTAAAAATATTACTTCATTATCTTTTCTACTCCTCTACGCCACTGTTCGGAAGCTTTCGTTAATCAAGAAAGGGTCGCTATCGAGAATTGAGATATAAAATTAACATTCTGCGATTCCCCAAGTTTCTCGTTGTTTGGTTTCGCGAATTTCGTAACTCATTGTTCCTTTTTCAATTAATTTACGGGACAAGACCGGAGAATACGTTGTAATTTATCGAAATGTCAGATGCATCTATTCGGAAAACTCGTGGGTATTGGATTCGAGTTTCCCTGGCAGATAAAACAGATAAGCGAAAGGAGAATCATTATCCGTTTCTGTGAAGTGAATGCTGACCGGAACAATTGATGTTAGATGTTTCGTTCTACGTCTAATTATGTTTTTTTCCTTTTTGTGTTCGATCCACTGATCTTGATCGCTCACGACGGTCGAATTAATCGAACAACGAGCTTTCGATAGTGTGGATACTCATAAATTTGTTTCCAAGGTAAGTACCCCAGCTCATACATAATAGCACGATGTTTGTTAGTGAAATATTGTGCTGTTGATTCCAAAAAGTTTCCTGTGGAACTGGGAGTCCCTCAGGGGCCACTTCTGGGACTACTTATTTTCACCATTTTCATCAACGACATACCTATACATATAGGTATAGGTATAGGATGTAAGCAAGACAAAATTTGAAATATCTACCAACTCTTTCAACGGCACATGAATAGAACACAAGTAACATAAATACTTTGATCATACCTGCACATCGTAAAATAACATGAAAAATCACCAGAACATAATGCAATCAAAGTGTCTTCTATAAATTTGATGAGTGGAAATTTTGATACCCACAGCAGTCAATGCGATATTAATTTCTATCCACTGAAGACCATATTATCCAAAATTGAACAAACCATTATCTAGCTTACTGTCTTCATTTCATGTTATTTACAAATTATAATTACTAAATTTTTTTTTTTAATTCGATCATATATGTGAATTCATTTCCTAATTTGTCAAATCCTCAATATGTCAATCTTTTGTCATATATTTAGTTTGAGTAGCCTTTATACTATAAATGGATTCATCTGTAGGGCAATAAATTTTGTATTTCTTTGTTTTTCTTTTCTTCTTTTCATAACACTGAAAATCAAGCAAATTCCTGACAAACTCAAATACAAACCTGTTGTGAGAAAAATTCTTATGGATAAATGTTGTTATGATATACCTGAATACCGAAATGAATCTCGTGTAATCTGTTTATAAGGTTTTAACGAGGATTTCCTGTTCCTTCAAACGTTTAATTTAATATGTTGCTAGGTCTGTGTATATTTTTGAAAATTCCATATGTGATTTGTATAGAATTAATGTTTTCATAATATTTATTTCTTGTTTTTTTACAACTATGTTATGACGTGTCATATGTACTACCTGTATCTGAAATTCTACTATTCTATTCTACTCATATATATGGTGTGACGCAGGGTAGTATTTTATGTCTACTGATGTTCACTTTATTTTTTCATAATATATTTCATATCCATTACATACTAAGTGAACGATTTTCAAATTCACTGTACGAGTAATTTCCAAAAAGCTTTTGCGTACAATATTGGGGCAAAGGATTTTTCTTTGCCAGATCCGACGGGTTTTTTGGTCAAAATTCAGCAATTTTGGAACAATCACCTTTTGTCACTGTGTCAATTTGAAGTGTTCTTTGATCCATTTTTTCGTGTTTGAAATGCAATGAAATAGATAGCGTTCCACATCGGTAGCGAGATTGCGGAATTTCGAAAGATACATTTAAATGGTGTAAGGAAAAAATAAATAAGAAATTTGGCCAGTGTAACAATAGTGGTGATCCAAAAGGGGATTTTTCAAAGAGTATTCAAAAATGAAAATGAGGCAAATATTTGTCAATGGATTTATTGTGGTTTGTTGTATAACAACATGGAGCAGCACAAATATTTAACAGGGTTTGTGAACACACTTACAAGAAGTAGGTGGTTCATGATAGAGTCTAATTGTTTAGATAGATTTTCGAAAAAAAATTTTTTTAGGTATAGGTATATGTTTATTCTATGTAGGTATCATAAAGATAAATAAAGAGGTTCTTTAAAGAAATAGCAGAATATCGCCGAACACGTAAAACACTTTCAACTTGTATGCCTTTCACCAGCAAGCAGCTTCATTGGACCAGAACCTGTCATTGGCATCGCTTTAAGCTTTGCCAAACAAATATTGAACACCTGGAAGGCAAGAAGACTTATGAACTTCTGGCAGAATCTTCCAGGATTGGCTCACTCCAAAGCGTTTATTCACCCTTCGGAAATTGATATCAAATATTTGTTGGACTACAGTAGGGATGAACTACGATGACTATCAGGCCTTCTTACAGGTCACTGTCATTTGAATCAATCAACATATGCAGAGACTCGGACTGTCGGAAGACAATGTGTGTCGCCTCTGTTTGAGAAATGATGAAACAGCAGAGCACATACTTTGTGCCTTCCCCGCTGGGGACAATCTGACCTGAAAGACCACTCAACATACAAACTAATCGGCTTCGTTGAGAAGCTGGGTTCATTTAGTCGAGTGTGAGCCACAATAAACCCTTGCGGGTTGCGGTGAAGGGTCGAATAGACCCACTCACTTTGGACCTAACCTAACCTCACTAGCGAACTGAACATGCTAAACAGGTGAATCAGTGAATATATGTTCGAGATGGATGTACCAACACAAAAATAAATAAATCGCTAATCGAATGTAGGTAGCCCGAGAAATTTTGGACATTCACCTTATTTTTTAAATAGACCTCGTATATCGTACAATATGCTACTCGTATTTTGAAAAATACAGTCGATGTTTCTAAAACATTTATATTACAAAAAAAATCATTTCATATAATCTTTCATAGAGTTTATCAAGGAGGCAAAGTAGCCGATACTTTTTCCCCACCGTGTGAAAACTAAAGTGTTTCCGTTGATGTTTTTCTCGTCACTTATCTTTATTCAAATAGAATTTTATCGCTCACTGTCTTCACTCTTCTATTATTTATATAGTGAATAATGGATTCTAGCAAATTCGGAAAAATATGACCTCGAACACAAGCGTTTTCTTTATCTTCCCGAGAATAATCTGCTCATTGAAGTTGAGTAAATTCTCAAACAAAATAAAAATATCTTGCTCAGCAATTGAAAGGGAATAAAGTTTGATCAAAACCATATACAGGATGTTTCCTAACTACGGTAGGAAACTTCAGAGGGTGACTCGTTAGGTCGTTTTAAGAAAAAAAGTTCCCATGAACATATGTCTGGAGTTGCTTCGTTTCTGAAATACAGGGCGTTAAGGTTTACAAAAAAGCTCATTTGTTGTGTTGACAAGAGATCACTGTCTACTACTAAATGCCACTAAATGGAATATCATCCTTTTCGGATAAAAAAAGAATCGCCAGAAAACAAGTGAATCTCTTACAATCACGACTGATAGTGTTCCTTTGCAACCCACAAATGAATGCAAAAATCTTGGAGTTATAATCGACTCTGACTTGCGGTTTGAGAAACACAAACGAACAAATACAACTGGCATATTCTCCGTTGAAACTTATTTATGGACACAGACACGTACTCACGAAACAGATGAAAACAACTCTCTGTGATGTACTGGTTTTATCGCGCTTCAACTACTCGGATACTTTATATGGTCCACGTTTAACCAAACAGTATGCTCAGAAAATACAGAAAGTACAAAACTCGTGTCTACGGCTCATTCACGGAATTAGGAAATATCAAAGAATATGTATTTCATCAGTTCGGACTTCCATTGTCCAATATAATATAAATTGATTCGAAATCCCTGAAAAAAATTAAAAATGACCTTCAACGGAATGATTACTCCAGAGTGATGGTAGACCAGGCTTTAGCTAGAAAACAGAAAGAGCTCCACAAGGAAGAGAAGCCGCCACAACCAGTACTTGTACTTCCCTACATCAAAGGATTATCGGAAAGGAAATTAGAGATAATAACACATACACGGATCAAATACCCGGAAAAACCAGTTCAGCATATTCCTATCCGTGAAAACTTCAGATTTAATATAAACTGGTTTTTCCGGGTATTTGATCCGTAATTTCACCGACGTTTCGACAAAATCTCATATAAAAGCGTGTTTTTTAGTTTTTCAAACTATATTCATTCAAATGATCAGCAGTAACCATATCTACAGCTGAGTAGTGTTGGTAAAATCAACAACATCTGGCTCCGTGTTCGCCTTAAATTTTTACTTTGTTTGCATTAGATATTACGTGGTATTGAATCAATAAATAAAATGGAGATTTGAAGTTATAGATGGCAGTCAAACAAAAGATTAAGTGCTAAAAGGTTCTTTCTAATATTTATTGTTTATTGTGAAAAGGAAAATGTCGACATACCTAGCGGCACTGGTTTTGACCGTTCTTCCCAATATTGGTGGAATTCTCGTTAGCTACTCTGTCAGAAATGAGATAAAGTCTTACTATCAAAAACTCAAAAGACCCAGTTGGGCTCCTCCAACTTGGCTCTTTGGGCCGGTCTGGACCGTTTTATACATCCTTATAGGATTTGCTTCCTATCTTGTTTTGACCGCAGACCCATCCAATATAGGTGAGTGCAAGATCATTTCATTATGTAACTATTTTAAAAATATTTCTTGATAATTTTCGTGGGTTAGATTAGTTTCAAAAATGTCTTCATTTGAAGCTGAACGAAAAAAAATCCGATAAGCGAACCAAAAATTAAGAAAAACAATTGATCTGAGTGGCAAAAATATTCATCTGAATTCACCCGGAAAATTTAATTATTCACCGTCATATTTCCATCTGCTGATCATGAGTCTGAAGTCAAAATATTTTTAGATGAGACTACGTTTATGCTCAAATACATCTCTATCACTTTCATCTTCAATCCCATATAAAACATACAGTGTCATCATTAAAGTGCGCACCATATGGGAAACCATTTTTTCGAAAAGTTTCAATGAAGTTTAACTTCCGCACTTGTTTGTGCTTTAAATTTAACTTGAAATGATGCTGCCAACTGCGACCCACTGACGTTCAGTGTTCGTCAAATTCAACTTTTTTTTGAAAAAAATTGAAAAAGAGCATTTCTAGATCGAATTTAACAAAAAGTTATTTGAAAAAGTTGTGTCTACGGCAATTTTATATCCATATGCCAAATTTTATGCAACTAGGATAAAGTTAACGTTTTGCTTATTTTTGACAGATATCCCCTTTATTTAAAAAAAAACAAGTTCGGTTAATTGTCATCAATTCATGTATACATAACAAACTCATCATGGAGTTTAACTTTTCTGATATATTTTTACTTATACGGACATTTTTAGAGAGAAATTAAAAATGTGCTATAAAAATTTTAACATGACATCAAAATCTCTTTCTTTTAATGTGTTAATGAATTTTGGCTTGTAAGGCCAAAATTTATTCTTTAATTCTTTTTTAAATTGATTTGCTACGGATCCTGCTTCTCTGAATTATTTCGACATTATCCTTGACACAGTAGTATGACACGTGTTACAACAATATGTCTTTATGTCTAAATAACATAAAGAAATCAATTCAGTTCCACCATTTTCTAGAAATAATTGGGAATATAGGCATATTTCCAGAAAATAAAACTAATTCAAATATTTATAGCATTGTATGATTTTAATTGAGTTTTTATCATACCTAAAATTTCGTTTAGCTTCCCAATGCAAACAACAAAACAACAATATTTTTCATATTTCGTGAAATATTTTTTGAACTTCCCAAAATATATTTGAAGTGTGTATTTCTGGAAATATTATTCCAATGTCACAATCCAGACAGGAATTTGTCAGATTGAACATGTTTTCTTATATTTCCCTTGGAAAATATATTATTTAGCTTGATCACAAGATCAGAATGGAGTCCACCATCATCATGTTACAGAGAGTATCTCGTTGATTGAGGCAAAAAATTCAAATCTAGCTTGTTTTCACATCTCATCATAGGGCCACATGAACAGAGAAAAGTAAAAGCTATCACTCTCACTCCTTTCCTGTCGTCATTTCACACGAAAATAAAATAACTAAGACTTCAAAGTAATATTCAAATGTCTATCGCCTTATTAGATCACTTCGTACCGCATTGTCAACTAGACTTCCTCGATTTGCGACTGGGTAGTGTTTATATGTGCCAATGGAAGTCTTAGGAAGCCGATAGAATTATTTTCGAAACGGTGCGACACTTAAAGCGACCTGGAAAAACAAGTAGAGTTGAGTGCGACCATGGCCAAGTTACAGTCGATTGACGACGGTCAGCGGCGGCCGAAGTTTTTTTTTTCAGGGATGATTTACAACAATTGTTCCATATTTGTTGTTTTTATTGTTGTCGAACGCAACAGCAAAGTCGAAAACATCCATACATCTGACAGTTCTGAACAATTTTTTTTTCAAAAATCTGGTAAAACATAATCTTTTTTTACAGATCTTTGGTTGATTCCTTTTGTGATCTACATCTTCAATCTTCTACTCAACTGGTTGTGGACCCCAATTTTCTTCTCGTTAAAAGATATGAGAGGTGTAAGTATATTCTATTCATTTATTTTACATAAGAATTCAAAAATGAAAAAATATATGATTTGCAGAAGGCGTAGTGGAGAAAAAAACATTATGAAATATATTGTCGGAAAACTATACAAGACCCGTTTGTTTTACTTGGTGAAAGTGTAGGTACGATATGAATACCAGCTAACCGATCCGTTTAGGAAAAATATTATTATTATTCGATCCACTTTCACAGTTTTCCAGTGTAAAATCGACTGCTCATGCGTGATACTGAACGGTGTACCAATGCTAGCATTAACTGCTACCATACCTCGTCAGTGTTGATCCAATCGTTACTTTATTAACAAAACGTAACTTTTTGACGTTCAAAATCACACACTTACGTTTTTACCTATTTTTTCATTTTGAAAAACTCTCAGCTGACAGTTAAGAACTGACAAGTGACGTAACAAAACTGACATTTGACGCATCATAACTGAGAATTAACATACCAAAACCGACGGTTGGAGAGCATTTTTACACGTTTCTCATCAGTCAACGTCAACGTCAACCACAGAATAGTGAAATTATGTGCGTCAACTATCACTTTTGCAGATAAATCACCTGATGTTACCAAACTTTTATACTTATACTGGTGATTCTGGAAAGATTCTAATAAGAAAACTTTTGTCTAGCGTAAATCAAAAATATTCAATTATTTTATCGTTGAAGATCATCTGTTTATTCATTTTCAATTTTATATGTTGCTGTAATCAATTCAGTTCATTTTATATTTGAATTTTCTTTATTATTAGTAGAAATACTGAAAATGATGGACAATGTGCCAAAAACATCATTTTCTGTACTAGTCTAACTCACAATTGGAATTTTATATAATTTCAGTTTGCCACCATCGGAAATTTTTATTGTTATCATTTATTTCAGGCTCTCCATGAAATACTCATTGTTGACATAACAGCAGTGCTGGTAGCAATCCAATTCTACAGGGTGAATCAGTTTGCCGGATACCTCATTATTCCTTACATCGTTTGGTTATCGATAGCAACGGCTTTGAACAATTCCATATTGGAGTTGAATTCAAAAGAAGAAAAGGAAAAGAAATGAGGTGAAATCTTCACTCTCAAAACAAATATTTTTAATGAATTTTTCTCAGAACTAATAATTCTAGAAACATAATTGGAAATACATGAATGTTATTTAATTCAGAAATAAATATTCAAGTACTTACTGGTATATTTTTTCAATTTGAATAATTATACGGGTGCACTGTTGAACATGATGCTGAGACAAGAAAGGTGATTACCTACATTCCGAAATTAAAGTAACTAAGAATATGCCAATGCTGTTTATATTAATGTAAGATGTTTCTCTTGTATGTTCATCACTAGATAGGTACTAATAAGTATCTAACTAACCACTTACAGTTCAAATAGTTTTCAACATAAATGTTCAGACAATTTTGTGAATCTGCTGAAACATGGGCTGTGGATTACATTAATGAATATAAATTCATGGATACATACTCTAAATAAACACTCTGTCTAACTTCTCTTAGCTAAAATTCCATAATGGATATGCTTTGCTCGCCGACTGCTCAAAATTATTTTTGTTCGAGTTTCGAGTTCAAACCACAGAATACGTAGAACATTTATTAATAGGATATTTCTCAAATGAAATAATACGATTTGTAGGGTACTGACATCTTTTAGTTAGAAGCTGAACTAAACTCTCGGAAAATGCCGTCTGGAGAAAATATCTCAATCAAAGAGAGATAGATACAGACATTGTTTGACAATGATACAGACTTTCCACCATTCAACTTCACCTTTCTATTGATATATAAAAAAAAAATCTAAATCCCGTTATTTTCCTGAAAAGTTTTGGCTTCTTAATTTTTCAGAATCATACATCCAAATAACTGCAATAATTGCTCCAATATTTGTTTTAATGTACGTAGATGCCAAATTTGGGATCTCAATACATTACTGTTTTATTCCAAATGATACAGTGCTGTATACAAGCGGGAGTAATGGGGATAATTACTCTCCTTCCCCAGAACACTTTTGGTCCTATTTGTGATTACAATTTTTGAAAATATTCAAATCCCAAATTCATATATCATAATTATGAAACCCAAAGAAGACATTTATATCAGTTCATATTCGTCACTGTGTATTAATTTTGTCAACAGCTACAAAAATTAATTGCCGAAGATTTATTTACAATGTTCAACAATTTCGCCCTTTTGTGGGAAAAACTGATATGTATGAATGAGGTTGCAAGTATATTCGGTCATTGCCTTATATGAATGGAAAATAAGAATTCGATGATTCAGTCATTGGTCATTATACAATTATAAAATATGTTCGGTTATTCCGTTGTTCTACTAGTTATATGTGCATATGACGAGGGTTGTTAAAAAATGTAGCAACAATAAAATTGTCGAAAATCGAGGTACATACCTTTTAGATCGATGTAAAGTTATAACAGAAATAGGAAAGACGTGTGTATTTTTTCCAACAGATATAGTCTTCTGAAATCGCAAACATTGAAATATATATTTCAGATTGCTTCTATATTAAAATATTCATATTTGGAAAAAGTCTCGATTTGGATTGAACTTATATAAGTTTCCCCAAATGCCAGCGCCACATATAATCGCCTATGGACATTTTGAAAATCTGACTGCAATCATAATTATTCATCAAAAAGCATCGTCATCCAAAGGCGTCGACATATTAAAAGTTTCTTACTTGTTTGTGCAATATAATGGCTGGGAAAGCAAAAAATTATCGAAATCATTGAACAAACCTCATTTTTTGTGCAGGATATCAGTTTTTGTGGGGATTATCGCCTTCCACAATTTGAAAAAAGTGTAATGTAGAACTTTTTACAAGTGTAAAAAGTGACAGTATATATAACTGTCGTGTTCTGTGGTCAATTATCTGTCAACTGTCATTTGTTCCATGTCAGGATAGCCAGATGAAGGTCGTCTGTTTTTAAATCATGGACTTTGGATTTTTTTTAACCCACCCATTATTACATCATCAACTACTTGTAACAGTGAAGGTAGGGGCTTTTCAGAAATAAAAATTACAATAAACAAGCAGTGATAAGCACCGTTTACCGGCAACTTGGTGTATTATTAGTCATTGCAATTTGTAATTGAAAGACGACTCCATAAATAATTCAATAATGGTACCTATGAATTGGCCTGCTATTGGTTTCACAATATTACCTAACCTAGGAGGAATTGCTGGTGGATTCATTACAAGACCACAGATCGACAAATGGTACCAGACTCTAAATAGGCCATCATGGAGGCCCCCAAATTGGGCCTTTGGACCAGTATGGACTTCTCTGTATTGTAGTATGGGCTATGCTTCATACATAGTGTATCGTGATGGTGGTGGATTCGAAGGTAATTTGTTTTTCTCTTAATCATAATTAAGGTAAAGTTCAATTTTTTTGTCGTCCTGGGTTGTTAGGTCTATTGATTTTTCTTTAAAATTAATTCATACATGTACTAAAATATGTGAAAAAATCATGTCGTACTACTGAACAAGAAACTGTTGTTTTTCAGTGGTATTCAAGACTATAATATATAGTATTGAACAAGTAGTTATTACAAATGATAATCAAATACAGTAGTATTTTTCATTAAATACTCAGTTGACTGAATTTTTGAATGAAGATTTTAAAAAATTTAGCTTTATGCACAGAAGAGGATTCAAAGATACAATTTCATTAATTATTATTTCCATTTTGGTGTTGAAATCTTTATGTTATAAATTAGGAATGTTTTGATACCAACTGCAGAGATTTAATGATTTGAAGTGTCTTATCATCTATTTTACTACTAAACAACAGTAAATGGATTGTTCAACAATGTACATTTCTGTAGTGCGTATTAATGTTGAACAAGAGTAATTTTTGTTGTATTTGATGAATTAATTCGAAGGCTTTTAGTTATTCAAATATTTGAGTTAAATATTAGATTTTATCACTTCTTTACCTGTCAGAGGTCAGTGTACATTTATTATGTGTCTTAAAATTATTTTTTTATATTGAACAAATCAAAAAATGTAAGTTTTCACTGCCAGTGATAACAATATCAAAGCTATTTTTTGGGTTTTTTGTCGGTGATCAGCAGTTTTTTATGCCTGATCTTTCACCATAATAGAGATACAAACAGATTAAATATATCAGAAGTTGCTTTGACTGTTGACAGGACCAAAATTGAACTTGTGGTGGAATTAAATACTCACTTCAAATACCTCTTGAAATATACCCGAATGCACAGTGAAAGTTCTAAAAAGTAGCACACAATAATTTGTGTTCCACAAAATTGAGATTTTTACATTTCAGGGGCAGCAAGATTACCTTTAGCAGTATATGGTGCCAACCTGGTAGCGAACTGGGCATGGACTCCTATCTTTTTTGGAGCTAAAAACATCAAATTGGTAATTATGTTATGTGTAGTCTCTAGATCTGTGAAACTTTTCCCCTGAACCAACCAGATTTTATTGGTTTCATTTTTTGGCAAAAACTTTAGGCAAACCATTTTCATTAAGGGATGTGATCAGACATACACACACCTTATAATCCATGTCATTATTGAATCACAAATCTCATTTCATTTTCTATATTTGTTAATTGAATAATCACTACTTCTCCTAAGCTATTCCAACAAAGTTGGAATAGCTTAGTAAACCTATAGTATTGAATTGAAGTATATTTTTAGTCATTATCCTACAATTTAAACAAATTCAAATGAATATCTTTTGAAAATAGAATCTCGACACACCAATTCATGAATTTTTTTGTTTCAGGCTCTCTATGAAATGCAGATTATCAATATCACTGCAGTTGGTATGGCTTGCTTGTTTTACCAAGTCAATCCTCATGCAGGACTTCTTATCGTTCCATACTGTTTGTGGCTGAGCTTGGCTACAGCTCTGAATTATGTGATGTACAGAGACAACAAGGATAATAAACCAAAAATCACCGAATTGAAAGATAACTGAATCTATCTTTTATGTATATTTGGTGTTTAATATAGCACAGGTTATAGAAAATATATATGTATTGATATTGTGCATTTTGTAAATTTTATAAGCATTCCAAACTGTGTTGTTGATGCAATAAACATTTTAACATTTCATCAAGTTTCAAATTTATAAAATTCCAAATTCGTGAACATGTCCATTAGTCTTGTGTTTATTCCCATTGTCATTGGATAGTTTTACTTCATTTTAAATTTTTTTATGAAACCATGGTGAGATATTCATATAATGGTAATTGGAACATAGTACCTAACTAATAAGTTTTTATGATTTATGGCAATGAACTCATTGAATTGGACATAAATGAACAAAAAGTTTTGTGAAGCCCCATATAAAGATAATTAAAATCCAATATCTTCATTACAATTCAATTTAACACAGAAAACTAATTTCAATCTATCGTCATTGAGCCATTGTTCTGAATCTATTAATTACTAGGCATTCTAAAAGATTGAGTTTTCAACTTTTCTCTTCCAAATGTAATGTTTTTAATTATACTTACATGAACTGAAGCCTCTGCCAAAATATGCTTTGCAAATGTTGAGTTGGCAAGTGCAAGAAATCGCACATTGAAAAGTAAGACCTCGTTAATCCTGAACTGCCCCAAGTCTCTTGTGAGAGTTGTCATACGTAGGGCGTGACAGCTGGTTAAAAGGAAAACATTCAAAATACTTCAATATTTTAGTTCTATTGGGGACAGTTTCCCCCGTTGGGCAATATAAAATTTGGTATAAAATGAGTTGTCTTTATTTTTCATTCATTTATTTGTATTTGAGCAAGTTTATCGAAAAGAGACTAAAACTCGAGTTTTGGATAAATCAGGAGTTAATACGGTGATTTGTGCTCCTTGTTGCAATTTATATTGGTAGAACTTTGTATAAAAGAATACAATAACATAGTTTATCGAATGAACATTTGCAAACTGTCTTCTGGCATGTGTTTGATCATTATTGTGATGTATTACATTTGAAAGAGAAAGGTTAGTAACTCATTCGTTTAGAAGGCCTAACAATCAATAGATTTAACAGTTTGGAACAATTTTTTTTAATAGATTTGGTAGGTAGTTAGGGTGAATTTTAATTGTGGTAAGGAGGCTCAGGCAGATTTTGTCTTTATCACACGTCCAATCTAATTGAAATTCAAACAGTAAGAATAGATCCCAATTACTATAACCCTTTTTTCTACTTGAATAATATCGGATAAACTGGTATTTTTGGAATACATAATTGAAAACAGATGCCTTTATATCCTGACTTGTAATAGGTTGTATAAAAACATACTTTCAGATAGAAAATCAGGACCACGGTAAAACACTTTTCTCTAAGGTACATAATCCTGCACAGTCAATATAGATAATACTTTCTAGTCCAGCTGTTGCTCCCTAATGGACGACAACCCACAGAAGTCAAACTAACGTGCGAGCTAACGATTAATGAGGTCTTACCTTTTAATGTGCGATTCCTAGTCTGGATTGGAAGATATTAGTGACAAAGCATTGCCTGCCCGTGGAGCTTGAACCGCCGCTCCACTTGGCAGTCTATTGAATAAGTAGAACTTACCACTCTCGGTTAAAAAACGGCTAATTTCTCCAGGCTAATGACAATTAGAAAAAAACTAATAAATTTCATGAATTTTTATTTGTTTCTATAGAATGTGGACTTATATAAAGAGATAGTTGTAGAGATGCTTTTCAGCAACAAAGGATATCAAATATTCATATATTCAGCTGCGCAAGGAAGTAAAATTGTATAAAAAAATACCTTACTATGAAAAAAAGAGAAACCTTTGATTGATGTTCATCACTGCCTGATCACTTCAAAGTTACTGTAGTACCTATTTGGGCTACAGCCAAATTATCCACTATCAAGCCAATACAAAAATTGCAAAATGAAACAATGAAATGTAAATTCATCCTTTCTGTTGTAAATAAGATACAATATTACAATTCAAATTCTTATGAGGTCAATGATGTTCATGAGCACAACACAGCAGAATATTTTCTTGAGATCTCAATCTGAAAGCTAATTTTGAACAAAACTGTATTCTTTACAATAAAATTAACATATACAATACACCCTTCCAAATTTTGATAAAGTGAATATAATGACTACTAATTGAAAACATATTTTTTGAATTATTACAAAAACAATTAAGTTTTTTTCTCTCGACATTTTTAATTTACAATTTAACTGTTCAATGATGATTTCTTTTCCATAATATAAGTTTTTTCTTGTAGGTAGGTATAGTTTGAATTAATACACATCACATATTTTTCTAACACACTCCAATAATGTCTTGGAAAAATAAAGTTATTATAAATGAATCTTTAATCTGACTGAAGTCATAGAAAAATACATAATTCAATTTTCATAAATGATTAATAGTGTATATACCTTTTGTAGAAATGTGTGATATATTTGTAATAATTCTCTATTTATTTTGTTGCAAAACTTGAATAAACCATCTTTTTATGCCTTTTTATTCAAGTGTTTTTATACTAATAAATATGAAAATGATGTTATCATTATGCCTTGTTTACAATGAATAACCTGATAAATATTTGTCTTTGAAATGTGTAATTTTTCAATTCATGAGTATCATACTGAAATTACGTTCTGCTACACTCAAGAAATATGTATATATGAATGAAGATGCATCATTTTCATCCCAATAAGTATTTAAATGTCAAGAAATAGAAATTGAAGGCATTCAAGTTACACCAGCAAAATCTTATCTACTGATTCCTTGGATGATTTTGTATGAACATGGCAACATAATAAATAGTGTAATGCAGCATATCAACAGATAGTATACCCAGATTGACTTTACTACCCACCATTAGACATAATAAAATATTACTATATGTGAAAAGACTTGTCACTGATGAAGAATAAACATTCAGAAACGCTGAAAATCAAATAATCTGCTGGTCTTTACACAGTGGTTCATCAGGCATATATTTTTCAATAAGTAAGTTTTTCTCAATAAGTTAACTGGAAATTTTATGTCACAAGATAATGAGTCAAAGATCTTATAGTCTGCATATAAACATATATCCATCATGACTATAACAGAAATTTGAAGTACTTCTGATGGCTTCTGCCACCTAGTGAGAAATACTGACAACATACTTCCCACCAGTTGACATTGAAAGTATATAAAAAAAATCACTAGGAATTTAAATTTATAGGTGTAAAATAAAAATAGAAATTTAAATATGGAATGAAAGTTGAATACACTGAAATATGAAACCTGGAAACTTCATAACCCATAATGATGTTTGTTGTTGATTTCGACACAATCAAATCCAATACTTATCAGTCTGCTATTTATAGAACCAAGTTTATTTTTTGTCATGGCATTGAATCACTGGCTAACAGAAAGAGGGGTAAATAAAACATTCTCTATGTACCACATTCAAGGTTTTCTATGATTTTATATTACAAATAATATTCCGAATTATCAATCTTGTGTTCCACCAAATCAAGATTCCGTTAACAATCGAACAATAGAAAGAAGTTATGAAAAAATACTAAACCTCCTTAGAACATTCATATATTTCCTAAGAGATGTTCTAATTATAATGGCTAGGTTTCAACAAAAAGTTTTGGTAGATTAGTCGACACACAAATACTCGGTCTTTGAGGCTTCATCAAAATTCTCTACTAGATCTGGCACATCTTCCTCGTCTTCGGGAACTATTTTACCAACGCTTCCAGAATTGGCAACTGTATTCGCTAGTCGTTTCAACTGAGTGATACCCTCCGGGCCCAACTGACTCAAAATCCCTGGCAGCATATCTGTAATCTGTTTGTTTTCTCCATGTCCAGTTATGGCAAATGTATTCGCTGCTAGAGAGGCTTGCGTTTTGGGATTATTAAAATGAATAACACTTCCATCCTCTTTAATCATGTTTACTTCTTCAATGCCTGGTATAGTGTTAACTGACAATTTCTTCAGGGAAGACTGTAATTTCTTATCGTCTGTGGCTTGGGTAGAATGAACAACCTTCTTCTTTCTTCGTGGGGTACCTTTTCCTCCAATTCTTACTTGTGATTGTAGTTTTTTCAGCTTTTCCGAATTCATATTGGTTGACGTTTATCACTTTCACTACTCACGACACCGTTGACTGTCTCTTAATTCTCGTTTTTGGTATTGTTGAATGATTATTTAGATTAACGATGATTTCTAGTTTTTCAATACAGCACGTGTGCTTCTACGACCGGTGCTGGTAAAAAGAAAATGGACGATCTTCAACTTCCTCGCGCAAGTTGGTATTGCGATTGCGTCATTAGTGTCACTACCGCCAAAATACAAAATATTTTATATTCATTTGGCAAATTTGCGAAATCGAAAAAATGTTTTTTATTGATAGATTAGGGAGTAATTGAAATCATCGAGTGTTCATCAAAACTCACGAAAAATCATTGAGAATGATAACCAGTGTTGGTTGTTACATTGTTACAAATTCATTCAAAATACTATACTGAAAGTAAACTAAAATTGGCACCATCGATATTGTACGCATGTGTAGAACTGTCATTTCAATTATGGTTCCTTATTTTTATTTTATTTAAAGTTATTTACTTGTGAATTTATGATCATAATGTCTTTAATGCGTTCATTATCGACATGAAAAACTGATGAATACTTAAAATGAATTACTTTCAATCACGAGAAGCACAAGAAACCACAATAATATATGAGAACAGATGGCATGACTATGTTTTCATTTTTCCATCTAGCTCAGTTTCAATATGTCCAGTTGATGTCGTATTTGTATCGGGGAACTCTAATAAAAAATTCACATGATTCCTGAATAGGACACCAATATAAAAGTATCTGCTGGCAAAGCGTACTTTGATTTGATTGATAATTCTATGACTTTGACAGAATGTCTTTTATGGTATCTGTGGATATTTTACACAGAAATATAATGAACATTATATTTTTGTGATGAATGTTTGAATAATACTTCTATCATAGACTAACTAATATCGATTCTGTTATTTCATCTGCGCAAATAAAGAGGTATGAAAAGTGATTTCCCCTGTAGTCGCCGTTACAATTGACCTGTATTGACATGCCCGAGTAAAGAAGGTTGAAAAGAGAAATGGAGCAATAGTTTATCCAGTTTCTCATAATTAAATATCAAAAGCTAATTGTAGCGCTATATTGTAGGAACTATTTGCTCTAGAAATGCACACGCGATCCATTAATCCACTTCATTTGATGGGGATACTAAAGTTATCTGGATTATCGATCAAGTATATTAGTTTTCAAATAACAGAACATCTTCTCCAACAATACTTTCACCTCTAGATATTGATACAATTTTTGTTGAATTAACAAACAATATTTCGGAAATTTTTCCATAATTCATGTCTTCGATATTTTCTTTGATTTCATAGCGGTCGTTCTGATCGCATTTTGATCGTTATATATGAGTGCTTAGTGAAACGTACGGTTTGACAGAAGTGTTACTGCTTTTTCACACCTTCAGGCAAACACAGTACCATCTCCAAAATATCTACGAATTCATATTATACTGAAACGCTGACAAAACAGCCTGAAAAACTAATCAGACACTTGGCAATGATAGTGTTAATGAACGGACCGTTCGATATATTGATTTGTGAAATTTCGTTCTGATCTTAGCCTCGAAGATTAGCCACAATTGGTCGACCTATAGTAATTCAGCACGACTACAACTTGAGACGTTCAGGACAGTGATTGGACACCGATGAGCCACCCAAACATTTCTTGAAGGTGAAAACCCACCAAGAAAGATCATGGTTAGTGTATGGTGGTCAGCAGCTGGTGTTATTCACTATAACTTTCTGTAACCGGGCCAAACCGTAATAGCCGAGTCCTTTTGCGAGGAAATCGATGAAATGTACCAAAAATTGCGTCAACAGCAGCCGACATTGGTAAACAGAAGAGGTCCGATCCAAATCCACAACAACACCCATTCGCACATTTCACAAATCTCCGTCCGAAAATTTAACAAATTGAGCGTTGAAGATCTGCCTCAGTCAACATACTCACCAGAATTCTTGCCAACCGACTACTATATTTTCAAGCACTTCGATAACTTTCTCACCGGTAAAACCTTCGCCAATCAGGGCCAGCGTTGACCTCATCAAATCCCAAACACAAAACAAAATTTTATGCTGACGGAATTATTGACTTGTGTTACGTTGGCAAAAGTGAACTGATTCAACTGGCGCTCATTTCGAATAAATTCACCAATATATTACAGACGAAACTTCTGAAACAGGCTAATATTTTTTTAACACTTCCTTGTGTCTCCACTTTAGAACCTAAACTCAGATTTATATTGCCTTCCTCGCCTAACAGATATGCATGTCATATAAACAGATACACATATATGTATGTAAAAATTAATTTAGAAAAATGAACATTTCAATGTTTTAATGTTTATTTAGGGCCTGAGAAAGATGATCTATTTGGCAAATTCGTCCAAGTTATTCGCGAAAGTTGTTTGGTTTTTTCATTTTTGATATGTTCCTTGATCATCAGTTTCTTCAGGCTACTCAGTTGAGAAATTGATTTCATCGATTTACCGACTTCAATATTTTTTTCTTCGCTGTTTCCCGTCGAATATTTTGTATCATTGATTACCTAAAACATTGAAATCATCCATAAACGTATCAAAACAGTAAGATACAATTTTTCACACCGTTTCTTCTTCGCTAAGATTCTTCATATTTGGAAATACGACACTGAATTTTTCTTTACAGTAATGTTCAAAATCGGTATTCACTCTTTTCTTCAAATCTTTTCGAATACTCAAATACATTTTCAGCTCTGCCTGACTTCTCAACACTGTTTCTTGTTGTTCTAATAGCTCCCTCTGGGCATTTTCCAAATTCTCCTTGCATATGAGTTCAGCTTCAGCAAGTATGGATTCCGTGAGCATATTGTCTGCTGTTTTGTTACAAACATTGAATTTTCTCATCACATTGGCCTGAAAATCAGTATTTTGATAAAAAGTCGTCATAAAGTTTTCTACATTTTGTAATTTCATTAATAGGCTATCATGTGTAGGGTCTTCCAACAGAGACTTTCGAACTTTGACAAGCATTTGCGGATGACACCCAGTCATATCATAGTATCGAACCTAATAACATCTTAGTATCCCAATCCCAAAATCAAATAAATGATGACCTTGAAGTCATAAAAACTCTGTCGATCAAACACAATTTGAAGCTGAATCATAGCAAATGCCATATCGTGTTCTTCGGCAACATAAACCAAACACAATATGCTAAAGATCATATGAAACTCAAGATAGGTGACCAAATACTCAAATCGGTTGACTCTGCAAAAAAACTTGGGATTCACTTTTGATCAAGATTTAAAATTCAACGCACATGTAAAACAGTTTATGATCAAATCCTATGCCACTCTCAAAGTTCTTCATCCATATAGACAGAGCTTTGAACATATTTCCCAAGCTCGTGCCTACCTTGGATGGGTATCAATGTCCGTTCTCAGGGAATATAACTATACTGCAATATCACCCATTCAGTACTGAAATCTAAAATACCTTTTTCTCTATTCAATAAATTGACAAAGAGGTTAGAGCTCCATCCTTTCAACCTTCGAACTAACGAAAACTTACACATCCCTCGTCATTCGTCAGCCATGTTCAGAAAATCATTTTCCTTCCTTGCTGTATTTTTCATAATACGATTACAAGGATCTCATGCAATTCTCAAAATCCACATTAAAAAGAAAGTAAAAGCAAAATTCAATATATGATCAGGAGAATCAAATGTATACATTTAACTATGATCTTGTTGTATACTCCTAACAATTTGTTTCATCACACAATCTATTTTTATTTGGTCCATTTATTTTTAATTTTTTTCTTATAATACATATTAGGTTAAGTGTAAGAGTAGCTAATAGCTAAACTTCGCCTATTATGTAATATTAAATACTGAATAAAGTCGATTATTATTATTGATAACGGCCATCTTGTTAAAGCTACATCTGTCATATTAGTTGTCATTTATTCAGTCTGTTTTGCCGAATCACCACGGACGGATATAGCATTCAACAACAAGTGCAAATAATAAAATTGTTTTATCAAAGTGGGTGTTTTGTTTGGGCAACGTACCGCGCGCTTCGCCCATTTTACGGTCGCCATAATCGTCCTACCGAGGGGACTATTCGCAGTGTGATGTTAAATTTGAGTCCACTGGTTCAGTAAACATAGCCGCTGTTCGTGAGAGTGTGCAACGCAGTCGATTTCGCGTCGCTCACAAGAACTCGGCCTTTCGCAGACCACAATTTGGCGAATTTTGCATCGTGACTTGGACCTGCACCCGTACAAAATTCAACAAACCCAGGAACTGAAGGTGAACGACCATAGACAACGACGTGTGGATCTGGAGCAGTTGACAACTAACCCTAAATTTCTCGAAAAATCATCTTCAGCGATAAGGCCATTTCTGGATGAATGGATAAACAAAGTTGTCGAATTTGAGATCCAATAGCCTCCAATACATCGCGAAAAAGTCACTGTTTGGTGTGGATTTTGGTCTGGCAGCGTCATCGATCCATATTTCTTTAAGAACGACGTTGGCCAGGCCATCACTGTCAACGGCGAGCACTATAGGTCGATGATTACGAACTTTTTTTTTACCTGAATTGAATGTTCTGGACACCAACGACATAATGTTTCAACAGAACAGCGCTACTTACCACACATCTCATGACACATTGAATATTCTGCACGGCGATTCGAGGGCATGATCATATCACGTGGAGGTGATTTGAACTGGCCACCAAGATCGTACGATTTGCGGTCTCAAAGCCAACATAACCCATGCCACCGTTCAAATTCAGCCTGATTTATATGCCAGTCATAGAAAAGTGGATTTTTTGGATGCGCTACACCCGGAGAAGCTATGGTAATCATTTGACCGATGTAATATTCCATACATAATGGCATCAATAGGTCTTTCAAATGAATAAATCGACAAAAATTATACTCACCTCTGCAATATCATGCTTAATATTTTCGACAGTATCTTTCATGCCCTGTAATTTCTCAATATCTCCCACATAGTTAGAATATGTAGACATTATAAAACTCTCGTTGTTTTTATATTCTTCGACCAGACTTTTGTACGAAGGTTCGGTAATGTACAACTTCCACACTTCTCGATTTTCTGGTAATTCATCAGGTATTAAATGAAACTCGCTCACTAAAACCCTATTATCAAAAGTTGAAACGCTAGCATTCGACTTTCGTTTGGATATCGAGGCGGTTCGTCTTATGTTTGCTAAGGATGATTTGGTTGTTTTCTCTTTGGATGGTTTCCTTTTGTTCATATTTGCTATGGAAGCGGATGCTGAAAAATAATATTTTTCGGAAGTAAGTACATATAACGACTACCACCCTATATATTTATGGGAGTTGTTGGTGGAAAAAACTTTGTTATTGTTTCACCATCATGCACAATAATTTCTTCTGAGAGAAAATGTGAACAATAAAATTCACAGTTATCAATGATGACCTTTTTACTCAATTCTTCTTTATATATAAATGATCATTTTTATTTTAACGCTAAATATATCTATTATAACATTGAACAAATAATGAATGATACATCTCCGCATATATCGTCTAAGTGCGACGAAATTTACCATTTCGATGTGAAATTGTTTGAATTTTAATAAAAGAAATCATCTAGTTTTCTTGAATTTACACGCGTGGTATATATAAACGAGTCGGTAATCAAAAATGAAGAAGTACAGTTAAAACTTTAATTTAAAAAGATAAAAGCTTTTTGGCTTTCACTTCTCCTTGTATATACAAAAAATTGTGGGAAACTTCTTGAAGAAGAAAGCAATTCAGTTTAAAATGGGTAGATAGCGCATAGAAGTTACTTTCAGACACAAAAACTAGAAGAGAAAAAATATATTCATTTAAAATGAAACAAGATTGCCACAGCTGGGATTGAATTAAATACGCACGGATTTCTTTACATACTGTCACCGCAGAATGTAGTTCCGATATTCTGTACTGTCACAATGACAGGTGCTGATGAGGTTATGAGACAAGTGTCTTATTCTGAAACTGCGACGTCCGCTATTGAAGATGTTAGTGTTCCATGTTCCATGTAGGGGAAACTTTATGTCGCAACTCTTTCATATATTTTATTGTGTATGGTTCCCATGGATGATATCTGATTCGATTCCATATGGAACTTTCATGTTCTATAAACTCAATTGCTTCATTCCGTCGTGTGGAAGTTTCACATAATTTTTTGTATGAAGAAGGAGAAGTGAAAAAACTGTTTTCTCAACGGAGTTTCAATACATATAGTCTTGAAGTCATACTCAAAACGGTACATCTGAAAGAAGACTAACATTGTATGTATATAGTAATAACAGGATGTATATACTTATTAAACTTACATTTATCAGTTTTCCCCATTTTAGATTTCATCAACTCTGATATAGACTGAACTGACGTAGATTTCTCGATTTTTTCTACGCTCATTCGGTGCTCCGTAATGGATGGAGATTCCTTCACTTTTTTTGATACTCTTCTAACAATCGAACCTCTTCGTTCCTAAGTTTGAATGAACAACAAATCAAATTCCAACGTTTCGCTTCAATCCAATTCTAATTGAAGTAGTAATGACTAGTGGTTTGTTGAAGTCAAATAACTGTGTAATCGCAATAAAAATCGAATATAAGATTCTTCAACGATCGATCATTAAATAACACTTATAACTGGTATAGTTACCATTATACAAGCAATTTCCAATTATGGAGATCGACTTATGATGTTTTTGTGTATTGTAATCCTTTGGTTAACTTAATTGTCCTTTTAAAATTAACCTTCAATCATGGCTAAGTCGTTGTCTTCCCCCAATATACCGTCCCTAAGTGTGGCATTTCGTCAATCCGACTTCTGCATGGTGACGTCAACATGACAATATATCAAGATTTTTTGAACGAGAAGAGTTTGAATAATTTTCGATAGGATTAGATTAGCTCTAAGACAGTTTCTTCAAGAGATCAGATGTTTTTGAAACGTTAAATTAAGTTGCTATATTTCAAGTCTCCGAATTATTTTTCAAAAACTCATATATAGAGACGTAAAAAAAGTATATTTAACGAATTAAGTAGTCAATGGGGTAATAAAAGTAAGTGATTATAGTGAAATAGAATAAGAAGCATACCTAATAAGAGAAGAAAGAGTGCATAAAAACAGAAATAAGACTAAGAGAGATCATTCGTGGAAATTAAAACAAATGAGGAACTGGAAAAACAAAAATACAAAAGAAAAGAATTAATGGAAGAAGGAAAGGACAAGCAAGTATCTATACCAGAGACAACTCTGAGCAAACATGAACAACCACAAATATTTGAACAATTATTTTGACCTATATCCAATGACCCAGAAGAGTACAGCATTCAGATTGTGTAAAGGATAATGAGATGCAGACTAGAGTTCGAGAGTATGAGAAAGGCTTTCAGAAGAATGAAAATGCAGTTGAGGAGAGTAATCGTGTCCAAATTAGCAACGTTGAAGGAGAAAGTCAACAGCTCACATAAACCCTCTACAAATTGAACAAGTGGTATGACAAAGCGAGATTCTTCTAAAAGTAACCTTGCTGCACCACCTGCAGATGGATTGTTGTAAACTACCAAGGCCTCGATCTGCCAAGTAAATAGGAAGAGAATCTGGAACAAGGCTGAGCAGTCCATTTAGCAGCAACCACTACATTTCGAGAGGTCTCTATATAGGGTTAGACCATAGACAAGATGTGACAGCTAGAAGAAAGATAATTATCTGAAGTCAATTCAATAGCGGAGTTCGATATAATCGGCAGCGAGTCCCCAAATATGGTGCAGTTGTCAAAGTTTACTGGGCTCAGTGGGATATCCACAACGGTCTATTGTTTCGCAAGTTGGAGAGCTCAGACGGGATAACGAAAGTGCATCAGTTGGATATATCGACAGCACTGAATAGAAGGTATGTACTGGAGCTTGCACAGTTCGATAAATATACTATTGAATCAATTATTGCCATCACGTATAGGAATTGTGCAAACTATGCCACCTTTGAATCTTGAAAAAAAGACTGCAACGAGTTAGTCGGTAAAACCAGAACAATAAGAAAGTCCATCGTCTCATGAATTGAAACTTACTGATTACCAGTGATCGGAGAAAGAAACGGAGACATGTGGATATAAAAAACCCCAGAGTAGGGGGATATATCATCAAGAGTTAATTGAAGAGGGGGCAATATTTTGGTGTTGGTGCTAGAACTAAAAATTTAACTTTTGGGTTCTTCTGGAGAACAGAGAGTGGTTGACTGCCAAGTTTTTTAGTTCAGATATTAGAGTAAATCGCGAGGGCAGTACAAAATATTTTAAATGCAATAATTTTCACCTACTCTGAGCGAGCTCATACTGGAAGACCCTTTCGATGTCCCTTTTCTCACAGGATACTCCTCATCGTGCATTCTGTCCCGTAATAATTTATTCCTTTCCACTTCCAGCTGATTGCACATCTCCTTGAACAGCTTGAAAACGACCGAAACATCGGCTACGTTCATTACACCAACATCAGAGATACGGCCTTTCAAGTATTCGTTTACTGTTCTTTGAAGATGGTCCATTCGATCGCAGCTCAAATTCGACGTTAGATCTTGATTCAAAAGAACGGAATTTTGAAGTTTCTCCCTGTGCAATTTCTCGAGTTGACGCTGCAATGTACGTTTAGATATAAATTTGTTCTCGTGTGATTGATGGAACCCCAGGAAACATAGAAAGATCCATTCCATCAGTTTTTTTTTATCTAAATATTAAAAAATATTCAAAAATGAGAATACTGTTTCTGCGTGCACGATGAAAAATATTCTCCAGATTTTATCTAATCTAAAAAAATGGCATGCTTTAGTATTGTGTGACATTTTGTTAATGTCTAGCCAATACTCAACTGATTTTATTTCTTAATTCATTATATCTTGAACAATAGGATACTTTGATACTTTTTTGAATATGAAATTAATGTGTCATCAGCAACAACAAACTGTTTTAGTGAAAGGATTGCACCTGTACGTTTTGAATTCAAATAATGAACGGAATAGGGCCAATTACAAGGCCCTGAGGTATTCCTACTCCTGAAAAAATATTTTTGATTTTGTTTTTTTATCACCTATCTTCAAGATATTTCTCCAATACTGTATTTCTTTTCCTCACTCATTGGTTCATAATTTGACAATTCGGTAAATATTCGGAATTTTGCCGGTCTATTGTATTTACGTGAAATGATGATCATGTCACGATTTTGAAGTCAAGGCGCGGCACACTTTGTTCATTCCGAAATTATGACTCCAAAGATCAAATGAAGGTCATATTCCACCTTCTTTTTAGCATCAAAAAACGATCGGGATACCTATGGTTTTATTCACCACGTCACCTTTACACAATGTTTCACATCGCTTCATATTTCTCCGAACAAATCTACTTTTTTCTTGAGAAGAATGTATTTTTTGTCAGAGCTGTTTTCTGATAGTGCGCAATTGACAAATTTGAGGTTAAAAATTAACTATAAATAAATTGATGGATGTAGCCGTTACTAATTGGTAGAAAATCATAATGAAGAAAAGAGAAATAAAACTTTCTATGTTTTTTACCACTTTTATAAAAGTGGTAAAAAGCATAAAAAGTTTCATTTCTCTTTTCTTCATTAAAATTTTACGATGGTACGACTGCTTCACTGAAATATTGCAAATTCCAAAGTGGTTTGAATTAATTCAATTGTTTTTATACGCCATATTCAGATAGTTAAATATTTTTTCAGAAGTTAAGTTGCTCTTCATCAACATGAATCTGGGCGAAATAATCAATCTAGTTAAAGTGAAAGAAAACATAATTCTCTATTCAATAGGGATTGACATTTTTGCATCAGAAACACGAAAAAGTTTAGTAATATTTGTAATTGCAATGAGGAATTTATTTATTTTATAAGATTCATATATTTTATGAATCAAAACTGCTCACTTCATTTATAAAGTGAAGTATCTATAAGCACCAGCTTACTTATTTTTTAAAACCATAATTTCTTGTCAGAAAATGCGGTATTGAAGAACAATTGATTTAATTTAAATCCTATTCAAATTTGTAATATTGGAGCAAAGCAGTCGTACCAACGTTAAGTTGTATACCTCCAAATCTGTCATTTGCGCAATAAATTACCAGAAAACAGCCGACAAATTTCTTTGTTCCATGGAAAAAAGAATAATTTATGCGGAAAAGCTTATAAAGCAAGGTGAAAAAGTTTCTAAAGTTGATATGGCGAATAAAATCATGTGTATTCCGATCGTTTTTTTGGTACAAAAAGAAGGTGGATTTATGACCTTTTGATCTCTGAAGGTCCATAATTTCGAAATGAATAGTATTCTGCTCTTCATTTGATAAACAAAAATGTCTTGCATATTTTGACTTTTAGAAAATCATAATGAAAATTTAAATGAATAATGTACTATTTATAGTTAAACACCCTTTCAAAACGTGATCTTACCTGTAAATATTTGATTTTATACTCAGGATCAAGTTCGATTTCCAATTCTTTCTGGGTTGGTTTGTATCCCTTCAAGAGTTGTCCAAATCTCAACATAGACATGGTAATTGGCAAGTTTTCTCGTAGAATTTTGATATGCCCTACAAAACTGAAAACCCCCTAGTAGTAAACTACAATTTCATACAATTTTTCCCATTCCCCACGAAATGTTGGATTTGAGTGGTTATTGTCAAATTGGCATGTCCTGACAACCTCAACAGGTGAAGTACATTGGCAGTTGAAATCATATAGAAACAAACAATTGTTCCAAATGAAATACAGGGTAAGTCAAAAAGTAGGTGCGGCCAAAACTTCTCCACTTGTAAACATTGTTTAATAGTTCTTATGGCCTTCAGTGTATTTCAATATAGTGTATAATTAACAATTTATATACCGTGATATGTTTTGGCAACTCAGATCATTTCCCAGGTAATACATCAGAGGATTCATCCTTTGCTTGATTCTGATCAGTTCTGGATTTTTTGTTGTGAGGCACGATAGAAATATTCCCAAATTTAATTTATCCAAATTTGCATACCCAACATCCGAAGGGTTTTTGTAGGTACAAGACTCACCACCAATGGATTCAACTCCAGCCATATCAATGATATGCAACTAAGGAATAAAAAATATTAAGACTGTGGGACCCAATGTTCGACAACAGGCCTAAATTTATTTACCGATTATGTATAATTATTCAACTTAATATAAATATGTCCAAGATAAAATTTATGATGACTGTGATGCTCCTTTTGTAGGAGTAATTGTTTCAGTAATTTTTCATAAAATAAAGTAATATTTTCTTGCTCTCAAAGCAAAATTGTTTTGTTGTTTCCTCAGCTAGTTTGGTATGCTTCATTAAGTTCTACTTGAGATATCATTTTATATGGATACAGACAGTTTTCATAATGAATATTTATGTTATAGTCACGATTCACAGATTGACAAAAAGAGGCCTATGGTGATCGTTCGCAATTTAGCATTGCCTAATAATGTTACAGCTCTTTTTTGATGAAATAAAATTTGACTACTACGGAAAAGGCAATTTCATAGATTAATTGTGATGAAACGAATGCTAGTAGGTTCATTTTCCAAGCCAACACATTTCCTACTACCTGATGCATATGTTGTAACAAAATTATTAACACTCATAATGAATGATAAATAGTACCCTTGACGCAATTTGTTGAGGATGACTGAAGTCAATATCCATTGTTGTTACATGGAAAGTAACAACACTCGTATTGTTATGGGACATGTAATTTCCAACTTGTACAGAACTTTTTCTACCTTCACCTAAAACAATAAACTCTCATCGGGCATATTTCAAGGCTTTAATCTCACCTATATATAACAATTTCAAGGCATCCAGTTGGGATTTCACTTTGACTTTAGTAATGGTTTCTTTGGTGTGCCATACGTCTAGATTGTTTGGATATTCTTTGAGTAAATCTGTAACAGCATTTTTTGAAAACTCAGCATAAGACATTTGTATGCACATTCTCAAGTTTCTTGGTACAGTTCTCTTTAGGGAAAACAACCCATTGATCACTCTTGGAGCTAGGCCTAGATTCTAGAACAGGATGCAAGAATTATTGGGCACAAATAAATTATTTCGTAGTTCTTCCACAATCTTAGAAAAATGTTCATCTATCAATGTTTGATTGCGACGTAATAATAATGATGATAGGTAGAACAAGAATCTACACAAAATGGATCTATTGAATACTGACTCTCGACGCGCGTTTCGCTAGTTGAGTTTTATTCTATTTCCTATTTGCACAGTAATTCTTAATTTTCTTCTCGAAACGTGCGTCCATGAAGCTAATACTGTTACCATCATACATTTCATTACTGAAAACTCAAGTACCTCTTCTGACAGTTGTAATCCAGCTGCAGTTAAAGATTTTCCCGACCCGGGTTGTCCAAAAACAGCTATTATTCCATTAGAACCCTTGCTCACCCTGAAAATATTTTGTTTCATTTTATCAACCATTTCTGTATAAAGCCATTTTTTATAAGAGCTCATACGTTTCATCCACGATAATTTTTCAACAATTATAGGATTGGTACAAGTGTTGAATAATATTTTAGAAATATTCATACAGGAAGATTTTTGGAAATTCACAGTTGGATTAAATTCTTAAATTTTATCTAGCTAGTCAAAAATTATATGTATCACCGACGAACAATTCAACTGATTCCTTCATAGGTACATTTTTTTGATGAGTTAATGTAGGTATATCTAAAAATGAGAGGATGAAGAATATCCTTACAGTACCCAAAAATATATTTTTTTTATGAAACTGTTGATTTTTTATGCAAATATATTGTTGTCTATCACTTATAAAATCTGTGAATCAACATGTTTTAGTGTTGATATCAATATGGCATGAATATCAAATGCATCACACAAATCTAAAGTCATCAGCTAACCATTTTGAATCTCGGGAACGACATTCTTTGCTGTTGCCTCTAGACATGCAAAAATCATACTGACCAATGACCAACGAAAACCTAAAGAGAGATGGAGATATACAAAGACTATTGTTTGTACTCAATGACCAAAAACACACAGACACAGTATTTTGTATATACAGAAATACTGTGACACAGATGAGATACTTGAATGTTCTTCAGGCTGTCTTGAAATATTCTGTAAGTCGCAATTTCAAAGTCATAGGAGTTCTTATTAATGTTTGTTATTACCAAAAATATCACGCTGAAAGGACGAAGGCTTTTATCTGGAAATCTCAGCAACGACCGACAGCCTGATTACAACTTATGATTAAGATTAGTGCGTGAATCCAACTTCTGGTTACTCTCACAACAAAATGTTTCGTTTTTATCATTCTATATCAAGCGTTTTGGAAAATATTCCTGATATTTTTTTACTTACCTCTGCAAAATGTCTCCAGTGACTTCCGAATATACAAACTCTTGCCTGCTGTTGAAGAAAACCCCATCAGTTTCGAATTCCCAATAAATCGGTGGCTGTTTAGATTTACTTGGATCAGACAACTGCTGCAAGTTCCTCAAATATACTTTAGTCTTATCTTTAACTTTTATCAAATCCCAGCAAGGTTTCTCGGTAGGAAAAATTCTGTAAAAAACCTTTACAAACTCGTTACCAGTAGACATTTTCCTACCTGAAGTAAAATCAAGTGAAAGCTGTCAACCAGACATCAAATTTTAGTACAGGAGTTTGTAACATATACAGAGTCATCTATAAAATATTTTCTTTCAACTTGGAAGATACATCTGAATTTCATCCAGGGTTTCGGAGATGAAACAGATGTTTCTACAGATGTTTTTCTACCTGAGGGTTGTTAATGGCTTCTGGCGGTTCTCCTACCTGAGATGGTTCATCATCAATTGTAGGAGAACCGCCAAAAGCCATCAACAACCTGCAGGTGGAAAAACAGGTAACAAATCCATACAACTTATGCAAGCGAAACCATATAAAAACACCACAAAAAGAACCTAACATCAGTTACACCTCTCGAAGCGAAGCAGTAACTCGTCTTGATAATGCCATCTGAGATGATGGCGAAACGTCGACTATCGAATAGTACACAACGGATGAACACCCGGAAAAACAACACATCATATTCTACCATCCGTGAAAACCTACATTGTGATATATATATATAGCTCTGCTACATGTGAAAACTAATGTATCCAATCTGAGAGATGAATCAATAGTTCATAACCATTAGTCATTCGACGCTTCTCCATAAACCTTTTTTTCACTTTCACTTCCAGGGCGATCGTATTCATTTACATCTTCTCGACCTTCTGTGAACAGCTGGTACCACTAGTAAATATTTTTCTGACTCAGAGTACAATCACCGTATGCTAATGTCAACATCTCAAGTGTTTTTGAGCACCTAATTCCATTTTTACACAAAATTTGATGCAGATTCTTTGATCTATTTTTTTATAGCAAAAAAACACGGACCACGCAGAACACTTCTAACTTTTATGACTCTCACCAACAAACTAAACATAAATGAATAACTATTCGTAGCCCGCGAAATTTGAACATTACCTCATTTTTTGAATAGTCCATGTATTCTACTTCTTTTGGATAAACTTTTTTTATATTCCACATGAGTAAAAATGGCTTAGGTGAGAAATAAATATTTACTTGCCTATTTTTAATCAATAATGTAGCCAGAAAATGAAGAATCTATCAAAGTATCTATCCAAAAAATCGGTTTGAAAGTATGATGAAAAGTATATGGACCTAACAAAACTCAATATAATAACTCTGAAAGTTACTTCATTGCATGATCTACACATCTTTGTATAGAATTTTTTTTTAAATTGATTGCTTCTTTCCTTTCTTTGGAAGATTCCCACATTTTTTTGTAACAAGATGAAGAAGTGGAAAGTCAAAAAACTTTCCCAAAAATTCACCTCTCCTAAAAATATAACCCTTTCATATTGAACTCATTTAAAGTAGCACATGGTACAAAATCATACACTTGAGTTAGATTCAAATCTAGAAAATATAAATAAAATGCCAGCCTCAATTAGAATTCAATTTAATTAAAACTTTCATGATTATAAATCTTAGGAATATATACTTTTTTGAATACTTACAGTAACATACAAAGCCCTACATAAAAAACAATCGTCTTATGCAATAACATAAACAGCTTTCTCCTTCAGATGAAAATTCATCGGAACTGGTGAACGCTGATCCTCAACCCGATGGAATCCTTGCCTATCTCCGCTACTCCGCAAATATTGCAAAGACTACCCTTGTACTTGGGTAAGTAAGAAGCCCCGCAGAGCGGGCACTTCTCTTCGGCTTTTCCCCTGTATATCGGTGTGTAGGAATGTCCGCAGAGCGAAAACGGGTTATGTTCATCGTAATGCAACTGTAGCTCGTCTGTGAGGTTAGAATCACAAGCCTGAAGAATTTTTCTAGCCTGCTGAGCCACTTCAGGCCTGGGGCCGAGGTCGAGCAGTCTTTTGGCAAACGACGCAGCAGTTTTGTAGTTCTTCAGCTTAAAGAACATGTTGAGCGCAGTCCGCAGAGTCAGGATCTGATGTATCGGCTGCAGTTTGCAGTGTGTAAAATAGGCTGCCATCTCACACTGGCGTTTTTGTTCCTCGATGGTGGTTTTCGGAAGAGTTTTCCGAATCGTTTCCATCTGCAACCCGCAAATATACTCGCTGCAAATTCGAAGCAACTGCTGGGCTTCAGAAATTTCTTGTTTGTTGTCCACTACCAGGAGGGTGACAGACAAGAGCAAGTTTTGGAATTTTTCAATGGCTTCGGTGAATTTGCCACCCGTAGTGAGCTGATAGCAAACCTGAAAAAAACGATGGGTTTGTACATGACTAGTGTTGATAACGTTGAAGATTTTTCAAACCAGATGTATAAAACAAAAAAATGATCAGCTGACATTCAATAGAAATGATACTTCTTCATAAAAATTTGAATCAAGGGTCTGAGAATCTCAACCAACCTGCAACCGAGCAACCAAATCGTTGAGCTTGATACCTCCAACAGGCAACTGATTCTTCAGAGTAGCCTCTTTCCAATTCCTCAGTGGATAACTGAACGAAGGAGGAATGTTCGCCTGCCAAGAGCTCACCGTCCTCGAACTGCTATACAAATTCAGGAAAAGTGTTTCATACGGTTTAAACTCGACTATACCCAGTTGGTCATGAAGCAACCTGGCAGCAGATTCAAAGGATCCCGCAACGACATGATCCGCGGCCAACTGGGAGTTTTTGGTCCACGTCAAAGGAGCAGACGGTCCTACAAAAAAAGTCATATACTAAATTTTGTTGCAACAAACTTTGTACTAAGACCTAAAGAGGGAGTATTATGTAGTAATTGTCTATTTGATTTAGATAAATGTCTGTTGTCTGTCTGTTCATCTGAAAACTTTTTGTCGATTACTCACACTTATGAGAAAACTTTAAATCTTTACTGCAGGTAAGACCCGTCGATTTTTCAATTTCTGAAATGCTGAAATTCGAAAAAAATACATACCTCTCGTCGGCAAATGAACATAGCTGTCAGTCGTTTCAGCAGCCTGAGAGGGGCCCAAGTCAGGTATCTCCAGATCTGCGTCTTCAACGTCCCATCCCCCTTCTCCGTCAGCAGAAACTTCAGCTCGCTTCTCTTCGGGATCGATTTCCAGTTCGTCCTCATCGCCCCAACCTCCTGCTTCTTCCATTCCGACTTCTGCAGTGGGTTCCACCATTAAGGACTTCATGTTCGCTGAGGCACCAGCTGAAGCTGCAGTGTTTTCGAAGAAACTCTGTAATGAACAACACAGTTTCATTTCTGGTTCAATTCGCAGAACTTTTGCATAATCGTACGTATTTGACGTACTTTACTGTGGAATTTTCAATAAACATGTGTTTTACTATACAATATCTTCATCAGGCATGTTTAATACTTATTTATGAATGGCTTTCACTAACTACTTGATGACTGATAACTTTGTTTTGCAAATGGTTAAAACTACTTCTGTGATCTTTTATTCTTCTAGTGAAAGTTCTTCCCCTTTGACCAATATAAGGATTGGGACAAGAACTACTCCATTCAGACTCCATTATATAAAATTTCAAACTTAGACCTCAGATGTATGAGAAACAGTAAATTATATAATTCACAAAAAAAAATTGTGATATAGAAAAAAACTAAAACAGTTAATTTACTTTCGACCTTCAATGAAACGAGAAAAAGGGGCCCAAGTTGTACATCTCATGAATACTTACCCTACTAACAGTCAACAATGGCCAATTGGACTCCGCCTGCTGAATAGGAGGAGGAGGTTTCAAAAACTTGGCATTTGGATCAACATCGGGTAACTTCTTATCATCTCCAATCTGTTCCCGCAGCTGCTCAGCTTCTTCTTTCATACCGTGAGTAGCAGCTGTTAAATAAGCCAACGGAAGTTGATTCGATGCTTTCAATACCTTTACGCGTTCCTCCAAATCACCTTAAACAAAATGCCCATCAACAAACGCCTTTCTCATACAGTGAACACATTCAACTTACCAAGTAAAAGAGCTCCGTGGTACTGGGAAGACCTTGCCTTACGAATCTCGGCTATCTTAGTCATTTTTCTAAGTTTCTCCAAGTTACCGGTTATCAAGTAGAGGAAGGATAGTTTTTCGAAACTCTTGGTGCGTTGATAACACATCTCAACCACCTGATGATTGCCCTGCCACAGTGCAGCTTGTGCCAACTGATCCCAGCAAGCCTTGTCGTTCAAAGCTTTGGCTGCTTCTAAAGCTATTTCGATATTTCCACACTCGAGTGCTAAAGTGAATCGAGTCTTGTCGTCTTTGACGAAGTGTAGAGCTACTTCGGGATAGCCTTTTTGCTGCAAGTACGAGATGATGGACTGGCCGACTAGTCTCGAGTTTTTAACCATGTATAAAACTTCTTCGTACTTGTGGTTGATGAGGGCAAGCTTGAATTTGTACTCGGTAGGATCGACAGTTAGAACACGAGGCTTACATTCACGGTCCAGACAGAAAACCTGGCTACCTTTCACCCTGGTGATGTAGATGGGAAGGTCCAGGGTGCGAATGATACCATGGTCACTGAATTTGGGGGGGAAAATCAGATATTTCGGTATTTTTTTTGGAAAAGTAACTTACCCATTGTTTAATGTATATTTGATATGGTTGCTGGTTGTATAAATGAAGACTCCTGAATCATCCCAAGCTCCAGATTTCACTCTGGTGTTTTCGTGTAAGGAGCAAAGTACATCCAATTTTCGATTGCATATTGTTACGTTATGTTTGGATAGTAATGCAATGTGGGACATATCAGTTGACCAAACAACATATCTGCATTTATTAATTTTGACTACAATTTCAGAAAGAACAAATTTTAGTTATTTTATGATGTAGCTGGGCTGAGAATATTATTTATTTCAAATCAAATTTATTTTCATCACTTTGAATAAGTATTTACCAAAGTAGATATTTAAAAAAGTGAACTGTAATTCTGAAAGTAGAATGAAGCGTAGGAAGATAAAGTAATAGAGAAAAGAGAGAAGAGAAGATTGAAAGAAGAATATAACATTCAGATTTGATAAATCTGTCAAGATTTTTATCATTGAAAAAGAAAAATATAAAATGAGACAAACAGTTCCAGTTTTTTCAGGCCTAATATCTCGTTCCATTAGGTAATTAAGTTGAAGAACACTTGAATGTAATATACTGGGTTACATGAAGGAATAATGTCGAAATCAAAATTCTTACCTTGTGCTAAGGTTCTCTTTTGCTGAACATCAAACAAAGTCACGTTCTCAGAATCTCTCAACAGCAGCATTCCTGTGCCTGCATAGAACACCTCATCGCAAGTAGGAGTCTGAACTTTTTTTGTAACCTCATTTTTCAAATTTTTAATAATCAGTTGGTGAGTTCTGTCAAGTACCGCAAATCGATTTCTAGCCACCCATAAGGCAGTTAGTCCAGAAGATCTCTTGTTTTCAGCTTCTGGAACGTGATCATCTCGTTCCTGTTCTTTTGGAATGTTATATAAATCGTAAGTGCTGTTGTCAAGATTGGAAGTACGAGTCGAGAGGAGAACAGCATTTTCAGCTGGATTGAAAGACATTCTGTAAACCGGTATTTTGCCACCCCCTCGAATTTGAATGACAGGAATGTCTTTGGAAGTAGTGAAATCTAGTTTTCTCAAAAAGCGTTCTTTGACGTAATACAATAAGTTACCATGAACAGTATAAGCTGGTCTCTCCCTTTCCAGTTTGAAAATGACCTATAACATTTCAATCAGTCAACTAGTCACCAAACCAAAAAAATAATCTCACCATTCCACTATCATGTCCAGCTGCAAACAAATTGAGGTTAGGATGAGAAGTCATTACCCAAAAACGCTCATGTTCTCTGCGGAACGTGTGCAAACAAGTACGTTTCGTCATGTCCCACACCCTGATGCTCTTATCTTCACTGTTCGAGAGGAGCAACTCCTGTCGTGGGTGGAACAAAACTGACGACACATTGTTATAGTGGCCCCTGCAAGTATCTACTTCCCAGGCCTTGAATTCGTTCATTCGCCATAGTTTGATCTGGCGATCATCAGCTCCAGATACAATTAGAGGCAAGGTAGGGTGAAAAGCTGCCCAATTCACTCCACGATCATGGCCTTCAAGAACGTGTTTCACCACTGCATCGGCCTGACCAAACAAATCAGTTGCTCCTGGATTTTTCAGGTGTTCTTCAAGACCAGCAGGGCCGGGAGAAACATTTTTCTTCCTCAAACCTAAATTATATTATTTTGACATCAAGACAATTGGTGGATGATTATTAGGTAGAGGGGTTTGCTCTAAATTTGTGCATATTTCAATGTTTGAGAGCTTTTTTGTGATCATACCAAATTTAATAGTCAGAAGATTAAGTGGAAGTGTATCAAATAACTGAAGTCACTATTGGTTTCTGTCTATGTTTTGACATTAATGAAATCCTCTCCAATGTTAAAACACAAAAATATGTAAACAATAATAATTTGGAATGTAGAAAAAAAGATAAAAAAATATATTTTCAACTGTTTGCATCCAAAAAATATTTTTTTTCTTTTGAAAATGCCTAAAACGGATGAATAAATAGGTTTTGAATGCAGTATCTCAGAAATTTGGTGCCTACACCTTTAGTAAAAACAAAAAATTAACAAATTCAGCATGAACACCTCTGCCAGATAATTACCAAATGGTGAATTCTACGAATCTCACCTGATATATCCCAAACTCGCACAGTCGAATCTAAAGAAGCCGACACCAACAAATCTTCAGTCAAGTGGAAACTGGCACACATAACATAATGGTTGTGCCCCGTGAGAACGCAAATGCAAGTTCTACTCTGCCAATTCCATATCCTTATGGTTTGATCATCAGAAGCAGATACAATCCAAGGATACTCGTGATGGAACATGGTAGTACGGATGTAATCTAAATGTCCCAATAATGTGAAAATACAACGCTTCTGTTTGTAATTCCATACTTTAATCTTATAGTCATCTCCCCCTGAAACGAATAAGGGCTGTTGATTGTGAAAACAGATACCACGAACCGGTCCATCATGTTCATCGAATTTTTCCAGTAAAGTACACATTCTGTAATCCCATAGTTGGATGCAGCCGTTGTGCAAACTTGCCAGAATCCACGGCCTTTTGGGGTGGAAAGAAAGACCTTTTACTCGAGCCGATTTCGTTTCGAATTTTGTCAACATTTTGCTGCTGACCGGTGAATTGGCAACAAATAACTTTAGCTAGTTAATTGAACGTCTATTTTTAGAGGAATTGTCGAAACATTACATAGATAAAAAAATATTCACAATTTTACGTTAATTTTGTATACGTGATCCTGATGGAAGAGATGACGTATTTCACCAAAATTGAAAGTGACAGACTGACACGTAGTTTGACAGTTCATTATCGAGTCCATTTCAAACGAACAATCACTTATTACATGCTAATACCTATGATCGTTGGTTACAAATCACTTCTCTGTTTACTAGGCTACTCATTTGAATTTAATCGGTTGAGTCAGATTTTCCTAATGATACAAGAAGGAAATACGAAAGTTTTCTCTGATAAAAGTAATTTTAAGTCCAGTTATCATGTTTCCAAATTCATTCAACGGTTGATGTCCAAATAATCAATACATAAGGTTGTAAAAAACAGTTACTATTTGTAAATTCAATTAGATTTATTGTTGAATGTACTAAGCGGAACATGATTTCGAAAAATCATTGAATTATAATCTGTCATTTTTCATAAATGATAATGATTTTTCTAATATCAAGGATCAAGGGGCATCATCCATAAGACACAGTACAAGGCAGATATAGAATCATTCATCGTTTTCAGTGTATGCGCAGGTTATGTCATAGCTAACGATCATTTATAAATTGGTATTTTTGAAACATTCGCAGATATGGGTTTTGATTATTATTTGCAGAAAAACGAGTGAGTTTTGAAGCTGGCATTAGGGTCTCTGCGATTGATATGTAAACATATATTCCACCTGCAAATCACACTACTTCATCACAGCATCATGCGACATATCAAATTTTCACATAGCAATATGCAACACGTAAAACATCGTGACGTTGTATCTGATGTTGTGTACGACTGACGTAAATGCCATGACACGAATCTCTTCATCTTTTTTTTAGTTGTTGGAGTCAATGTTCTTTCTTCAATGGTCACTCCATATTTATTATTACGTCATTGTTTATAAATGTAACCTCATATTTTGTTTATTTTGCTATGATTTTGAATCTTATTGTTCATATTATTTAATAAAATTGTTAATTGTTTGTACTATAACATTCTCAAAACCTAAATTCCTCCAATTTGTTAACTATAAAATTCTACTTCAAAAAGTTTTCAATACCAGACACATTGTGGCTACTATGGTGAGCTGTATAAGCTGCAAAATTTCTCATGTAGTAAGAGGAAGAAAGGGTATTTCTTTCCATAGGTGAGAATTTATCTGTCGTTTATCTGATAGCAAAACGAAACATTTACCTTTTTACTTCTCCATCAGTATGTTGAAACATTTTAAGAAACAGAATTTTCAAACTACACATGAACTGATGAATTGAAAGCGAACATTTTCAACTCTGAGTTAACTTTGAGGGCGAAAATGATTCTTGTAAGTGTAATTTCATACCAGTATCATTCATATTATGTTGTGTCACATTTCTGTTATTTACGACTGTTTTACAAATTACGAAAGAAAACATTCAGAAGAAAAAGTAAATAGACATGAAATGCCACAAGGTTCCGTTTTTCGGACTGCTATTTTTAATATATATAAATGATATAAACGCAACTCTGCCACATAGTTCTTTAATACTCTACGCTGATGATACCCCTTTTACAAAATGTAATGATAACATTAACAATTCAGAAGCCTAAATGAGCAGATTCAATTCAAATATTAGTGAAACTCGCAAGAAGATATTTTCTATGAAAAAATGTGTTTTACCAAAAAATCTAGACTCTGCTTAGTAAATATTGTTGGTAGAGGCATTTAGTTAATTTTAGATCACCTGTGGACCAGAGAGTCATACAGTCTGTATGTCCTCTTGCCATATTAGTTTGGGAGACTCGTTATATGTTCCCAAAGTATTTGGCCTTCAGCGAAGAGCAGTGGGTGTTATTAACTTTTCCAATCTATTCTATAATTCAATAGGGAAAAGTAGGTTGTTTCAAACCAGGCTTTTTATTCTCTCCCTCTCCAAAATACTTTCTTCCGTTCTAACTAATATTGAAAAGGGAAAATATCTCTCAGACCCTCCATGGTTTTAGTCACAACTATTGGTTTCAGTTAAGGTCAAAAATATAGTACTACCATGTATTTTGTTAGTTATTCTCTGATTTGAGTAATTTAGAAAATTGTGAAGAAAGAGCAACACTTAGTTATATCACTAATGCTCCTCAAATCACAAGGGTCACAATCATTACCTAGCTTTTCTAACAGATACGATAAGATAAATTTATTTTTGAAGTTTCGTAATATATACAATAATTAACAGGCTTATGCATGAAATGATAAAACCTTGTAAAGGTAAACTTGCCAAGAAAAGTCATAAATAATAATCAGTGTTTTATTTACTTCAAAGAGACATGAAAATAATTAATTTTTCTACTTTATGTTTAGATTTCCAGCAAATCCTATTTTACGAAAATCCTGGCTAGAGTTCTTGAAACTGAAAGAAAGTGAACTTCCTATAAGGGCCCATTTGTGTTCTCAACATTTTGATGAAACATCCTTCGATAGAAGCTCTCGCTTAAAAGTTCAGCTAAAGAGAGATGCCATTCCATCAATACTCATACTCAGAAAAAGAAATGTAAGTAAATTGAACTTAATTATATTCATATGTGAGTCATAACTGTTGTAGTGTGACATTTTTTCTTATGTAGTGTATGTATATTTTTTATATTTTCTGTGGGACATACCTGAGCAAATTTTGTTATTGCAGATATTTTCGAATGTAATAAAAATTGTAATTAGAGGCCCATAAAATTTCTGTTTTTTCTTCTTTCTATGTATCCATTATTGCATTAAATGTGTTGCCCCAAAGTAGAATACCATATGATAGTATAGGATGAAATAAAGACAAGTAGGATATGTTTAATACTTTTAGATTGGTTACTAGTTTGAGTTATTTTGGAACAAATACGTGGCTGAAACAGTTTAACCGATCGTCGATGATTTTTTCCAAGAAAAGATCCATTTTCTTTTCTGATAGAGTGGATTTGGGAAGACAATTAGTTCTATGTTTTACTTTCATTCTGTATATTCTGTGTGAAACAGCTTTTGACTAGGTTTTTGTTCTCGCCAACATTTTGATTCAAATCGATGGTTCAGTTCAACTGACTCTCCGTACGTACTCTTTAACGACACTATCTATGATAATTATATGTTGATCCTTATCAAATAATGTTGTTTTTGCTTTGTCAATGACACGTGTTATTTAAATTCAATTTTTCAGGATAGAAAAAGCACAGGTGGGATAATAATCAAAGAAGAACATGATGTACCGAATGAAAAAACAAAAAATTCCTTAATTGATGATGAAACACTTTCATCAATCAAAATCGAATGTGATATTGACATATCAGATACCAAAGTTGAAGAATCATATTAAATAACTTTATTAGTTCCAATGAAACAGCAAATGAAGAAACACCGATAAAGGACTAATGGAACCAAAAAAAAATTAAAAATGTCTTCCAAGTCCAAATCGATGTTAGTGTTGTTTGAAATATCATGAATACCAAAATTTAAGACTGCAACGGAAGTGGGTATTTTATATTCAGTTTGACAGTTGAATTTTTAATTGTATATAAAAAAGGTCCTCAGCTTATAGCACGATAATTTGTTGAGATTCATTTTTGTCGATAGAAACTCTTGTTCATATAAACTATATTCAACTGAGGAAAGATTCACAATAATAAAAAAAATGAATAGTATTTTTTTGAAAATAATTGTTTAAATACATTTTTAATAACCTGATGGCCTAATATTAAGTTTTATTACAATTTCAAGGTGAATATTATTTATTGTTATGAACTAAAATTGTACATAGTTGTTGAGTATGAATAAAAATATATTTCAGAATGCTGTTCATTTCACTGATAAATCATTTGTATTTATATGAAAGTAGTTGTTTCGGAAGGGGTTTTTCTTCCAGTTTGTGTCTGAAAGTAACTTCTTTGCACAGGGCCGTAGCGAAGAGAAAAACCAGGGGGGAGAGGAAATCCAAATTTTTCCAACCTCACCAGCAAAATTTCCCAACTTTTGAAAACATGAAAGTCGAGAGATTAGTTACTACTATAATATATTAATTTTCTTACTTAGCTATCCAAAGATTAACTGAATGCTTAGGGTATGCACAAACAAAAATAAATTTTGCTGATTATAAAAATAATAATGGAAATTATTCTACTTTGGATTGTTTTCTACTATTATTTTTTCTATCTTCACGGCCCGAAATTTCCCAACTTTTCCAAGTCGAATAAACAGCGAAAAGTTGGGAATTTTGTAAAATTCACTTCAAAAATTGTGGACTGTTCAGGCCTGTTCTCTTACTTGAGAGAAATTAAACTTTTTTGAAGTTTTCAAACAACTCAGAGTTTCAAAGTATTAGATCTCCAAGTTATGCATGTTGGGAAATCCCAATCTTGTCCTGGTTCTTTCCCTTTTCTTATTACCTCTCTCTTTCTTTTCTCTCATTTCAATTTTTAATTCAGTTTTGGAAGATTCCCATATTTTTTTTCTATAAAGATGGATTTCACGGCTGGAAATGACCGTTTCAAAGCTATTTGCCGGGTTTGTTGATCATAATCTATAGGCTTTTGGGCCTGGCATTTCGCCTCTCTCAAAAGTCGGAACTTGTCCGAGTTAGGAACTAACGAGGTCTTACCTTTTAACGTGTGATTCCTACAAAGCCTATATATCAGTTAAAAACAACAGCTGAGAATAACAAATCATATCAAAGATTTGACCAGTGAACTTAGTACCTTTTGTTTAAAACATCACGAATATATTAGTAGTTTCCAGATAGCAGAAAAGTTTCATTTATTAGAAAAGGACAACAAAAAACAACAGTTACTTCTGCCAAATTTTCTCCACCTCTCTGTAATGGTTACATGTTGAATGTGGCTTTTAGTGTTGAAAAATCGGCTATGAAAAGAAAAACAATAAAACAGTAATGAAAAAAATGAGGTGGGTATCAGAACGTGACCTCAATACCAATTATTTGCCTTCTCTAAAACAAGCACTGCTCCCAAAAAACCAGAACTTCAATACTCTTTTCGACGTGAGTCGAAAGTAGTCTACTTCACCTCCTGAAGGCGCCAATCTGGTTGGTGAAACGCGCATCGAGAAGAGGGTTGCAGTTCTGGTGTGTTGGAAAGAGCTTGTTTTGGATCTATTCTACGCCAAAGGCTTCAGTTTTACCTTCCATTCGATAATCCCTTTGATCAAGCGTATTCACCCATTTTTAGATGCAATAAAGAAATGAAATGTAAGCAGAATCAAAATAAATGAAGAGTACTCTCCGACAAAATATCAGAGGTTGAAAATTGATAAAATCAAAGCAAAACAAACTCCAACATGCTGGGAATGTTTGTATTTAATTAAAACAATACTGATAATTATTATCGGTTACTGTTATAATACATACAAAATAATCATTAATGAACTTAAATCTACTTTATATACATAAAAAAATAGTTTGATGGTCAAATTTATTAATTACAATTTACAAAATATACAACTATCCTCAACTTACGAGAATTTTTATTTTCATTATCACATTTTCTACATTAGTTATAAATACCTCATAATGAAAAGGATATTTGGACAAGCTTGAAAGAGGGGAATCCCAAACAAACGAACAAAAATCAAAAGCAAATTTATACTCATTTGAAGACGAGAAAACAAATTTGCAGCATTTCGGCAATTCTAAAAATAGTATCACCTCTAGAGGATTGATGCAATGGCAGATAGGATCAGAGAGCCTTTATCTTTCCGACAGTTCAGATGAACAGATCTTTTGGAGATTCTGCAATTTTTGAAATAAGCGTATTCTAATATTGGTTTCTAGGTTATCATTTGGAAGGAAAGTTATTCTACATACAAAGATTCTACCCCTGAACATCTTTTTGGAGTCTTTTCATAATCACTTCAGAAACCGTTTATTCTCAGATTTCCAAGTACAAAATGTGGAAATTTTTAGAATAGATTTCAATTACCAAAAATTAAAATATCATGAATTTCACATCAAAATTCAACTATTCTGAACTGAAATTACTTCAAGTGAGCAGATATTACAGATACACTTCTTGAGCCACTGAGGATCAAACTAAAGGAGAATATATGAGACAGTTTGAAGCCCTAAGTCCCAAGTATCTTTTAATAAATAATAATAATAATAAATCTTTATTTTTCAGTTAAAAAGCATAAATGTATAAATGTATGAATACATTCCAGCAGTAACTGACAAAAACGTCATAATTAATATAGAAATGAATTCAAATGATATGAACACAGTCATAAGTTATTAATATAAAAGAAGTAAAATATATAATTATATAGAAATATAAAAAATTTATAGAACCTACCGACTTAATTAAAAAAGACACAAGTCATAGTATCATAGTATGAATGACAACTGTCAGTTGAAAAACAACAGCACAAATATAACATTTGAATTGTCAACAAGAATACATCTTCATAAAATATAGTATTATGTCATAAATTCACTAATACTGTAACAGTTCTTCTCAATAAGAAATGCTTTAGGTCTGGATTTAAAAATATTAATATTTGGAGATGTTTGGATAGAGACATCGAGGTGATTAAAAACTTTGCACCCCAAATATGAGTGACTTTTTTGGTATAGGTTAGTTCTATGCACAGCAAGCACAAGAAGATTTCTGGATCTAGTGTCATATTGATGATCTGTTCTATTGAAGAATTTATCTTTATGTTTGTATACATATATACACAGCTCATACAGATACAAGCCTGTCAAAGTCAAGATCTTTAGTCGCTTAAAAGCCTCTCTACATGACTGCCTCCAATTTAGTCCTGCAACAATTCTCGCAGCAAATTTTTGCAGAGCGAAAACACGTAACCAAGAGGTACAAGTACTCCAGTTAAGAATACCATATCGCAGCTGACAGTTGATGTTTGCATACTAAACGATTAATAGTATGTTTTCGTGACAATGATTTGATAAGAACTTTAACGCATAACAATTTTTGCTTAACTTTTTACAAAGTATATCGACGTGTGGTCGATTGTTAGTCCAAGCAACTTAGTCATTTCACTAGCATATACATTCATGTCATTGTCTTCAAAAATTTGAAACTGTTTCATAGTTCCCCTGAAAGTAAATTTCATCAAGGAGGTTTTAGATACATTTACCGTTAGACGATTTAATTCGGACCACTCCATTACTTTATTGTATACCATTTCTGATGTTATCACAAGTTCAGTAGTATCTTTACCAGTTATGAGTAGATTTGTATCATCAGCATATGATATTACTTGGACTTTAGAGATGTCAAGGAGGAAATTAATGAGATCATTAGCATAGATTAAAAATAACAAAGGTCCAAGAATTGAGCCTTGGGGAACTCCCTGCTTAACAATGACAGATTGGCTCTGAGTTGTGTTGATGATTACACTCTGGGATCGATCAGTTAAGTATGATTTCATTTAATTCAATGCTACACCCCTTATCTTGTTAGTTGACCAACTACAACTCTGGCAACTTGTCTCTGCAATAAACAATTTCTGACTGAGCCAATATCTGTTGCATAAATCCAGTTGTACAATTGGTATATTACTAACAGAAATCAAAACTAGTCTGAAGACTACATATAAAATAAATATTTTGAAATGAAATCTCATAATATTCATCTCTCCCAACTAACTACACTGTAGGTTATGGTAATTGCCTGCAGGAAAACAACTACTTCCCCGGCTAATACCACGATAGACATCGAATTATATCCAACAGACATTTATGCAAGATTCCCCACAGAAGTTAGTCTTACGGATGTTTCTCATACATCCTGCAGTAGGACCATGCTGAAATCAATTGAGTAGATCATCTATAGACCGGTTTCAAGGTATTACCTCTCATCAGTGCAGAAAAGATGTATTTCTCCTCGGTACAGTCTTCTTTTGATTTCTGTCAAGAGTATTGGTACATGGAATGTTTCTTCCCCACTTGGACTACGTTCACGAGATAGAGCTCTTGTTACTAGTTAACAATCTTTATCTTAGACGAAGTTTTCATACATGCAGTCGAGCCGCGTTGAAATTAATCGAGTTCCAAGCACACTGCTGTTTGCTTCGGATCTGTCCTGCACTGACCAGAGGTACTACATCGAAACAAGTTTGTTTCGATTAGAATATTAGAATGTATTTGAAAAGCCACTGAAACCACCTGAATTCACGTGACAAGATTGAAATGTACAATAAAACTTTGTATAAATGAACCTTCATTTACACCCACCAAATGTGAAGAAAACCTTTCATTTTTTTCAGTATTTATTTGATACTGTTATTCAAATATGTCGATTATATAGTTGTAACTTCCCGGTGTCTGTCCCTATGGATGTTTAGATATTTGAAAGTACGCAACGGATTTTGATGAGGGTTTTTTCACTAGACAATATAGTACAGAAACACTGATAATTTAAGAGGTTTCTGATGTTAGGTCGTAAATAATAGACACATTTTTTGCGCTTACATTGCAAACACTGACTGAACCCTACGAGGTAGATCAGAATAGTGTACTACAGTATTGTACACCTTAAAATTCTACAAAAATGTCCACGATGGTATATGTCAATCTATTTGGGATAACCCACAATAAGCATTTTTAATTAATGACTTATTTACAAAGCGACTTTACAGTATGTAATTTAAATGAATATTTTTGAAGATATTACAGATTTAAAATGCCCCCGGCCGGTACCGCCGCAACCACTATAAATAGTTTCATGATTAGCAGCGATCGCACGCGTTTATATGTATATTCAGTATCAGCATTGCACCTGTACGGAGCCAGGGCGGGTCGCTAGTACCAACTTATAGGGTAAATTTGTTTATTCTGCTCATGGTGATATTTTCTAATCCAGCTATTTACTGTAACACTCTGTATAGCAGTTATTTGCCTTGAAAGCCGCTTTGTAATCAAGGTCATTTAATTTTCAGAGCAGAAATAATAACTGTCGAAATAAATATGTTTATACCTGTTGAATGGTACAGAAAATCTGAGTCGATGAATAAATAAATACTACCCAACTAGATTGTAAAAATACCATTCTCATCTAATCCCGATGGTGGGTTAGATTAAAAACAACCTCTACATGCTTCACCAGCCTAGAAGGCAGAGTTAAAGAGTAAGTCGAAGTGAAATGGAAAAAAATGTTAGGGGTAGTAGAAAAGTAATCCTTGCTGGATAACTTATGGACGTACACGTTGGTATAATCCAGATTTCTATAAGATATCCTTCGTATACAAATTGAACGTTCATCGTACATTGGCAGAATGGACTTTTATTGGATATCCAATGAATGTCTATGCGTTCGCCAGGTATTTCTATCTGTTTCTCATTGGTATTTCATAACCATGCTCAATACACATCTTTATAATATTCCTTGGGAATAAATCAGACGTGATGAATGGACTCCAAATTTTTTGAGTATTTAAAAAAACTGATGGAGTTCTAGAGGTTCAAAGACTTTGTGCAAATTCTCTGAGATGTCTAGAATCCTATTGCCTTTTGCCGCTGTCAAAATATCCTTTTTTGTTTGACGGTGCTCAAACATTGGATTGTTTAGAAATCTATCGCCGCCAGTCCATTTACACATCTTTCTCTCATAGTAAATAAATAAAATTTATAAAAAACGATAATACTCATGCAGCCCATCAAATTTGAAACAACAAGTACTGGAGTGATTTACGGAGCGACAGATGAAGTGATATTATCAATTCGAAACTGCTACGACCGACGTTCCCTCAATCGGGAAACTTTTTTTTCTGTATCGAGTTATCGAATTGCGGTCTTCTCGATGTTGAACAATCGGGAGTTGGTTGGCCTAGAATGGCGCAGGTTTTTTCAGAGCTCGAAGCCTGGTAACAAACCGCACTTGCGTGACCAGATCTTCCGGATGTTAATGGAACTCCATCCATCCATGTGTCGGTGACTGGACAGTATATTTCGACGTCGGTCAGGAAATTCATGCCGTCATAGCCTCCTAAAAAATATGAAATCATATAGAAAGTGGCTATCAACACCGAAATCAATAAAGTGCTCACCCATTGCATATATTCTACAATCCAGTACAGTCACACTGAGAGCACTTCTACATATTCTCATGGATTTCACAAACTCCCAGCGATCCTTTTCTGTGTCGTATCTCTCCACACAATTCAACTGCTTCTTACCATCATAACCCCCAATCACATAAATGAATTGGTTGATGGCTGCCACTCCTGAAAAAAACCCAAAATTTCATCCGGTCAATTCAATTTTGTAAAAAAAAACCAACACTTCTTATAGAATATCATTTCTCCTTTTATTACATCAATTTATTATCTTTCGAAAACACTTCTCTCCAACGAGAACATAAAGGCTGTCTCTCAACGTGTGTTTCGCTAACCAAGTTAGCATCATCAGGGGATAACTGAAACTACCTCTAAAAGTTATGCTAATCCTTTTATATGCATCATTACCGTGCATTATGAGGGACATTCAATTCCCAGTATTTTACTATTGTTCCTATTGTCGTTTGCTACGTAACATACGTAATCTTTACCCGTTTCATTCTTGCAATTTAAGAGTACGATCAATGGGCTATTAAGAAAGGAAACTTCATCACCGCTCACAGATCTCACTCCACATTTTTTGATTTCTGAACCTTTCATGTACCAGTCTCAACCATTTCAAGCATTCACCACTTATTCTGTTGCAACACTGGACCAAGTTGGTCTATGAAACCGAATATCTGAAATATGTTCTTTGTAGCGAGCAATTATACTCCGCCCAGTTTGAACAAAAAATTTTTTATCACTATCCTGACTGATTTTCTCGTGAACCCCAGTTTGGTAGACAATAATAAAATACAGTTCCTCTACATACCCAGTTGTGAAGTAATAATAACCAAAAGCAAAATAGTCAGAACAGTTAACGAAAAAAGTTGAGAATATACTTCTTCAATCGCTAAAACCTACGATTTTTTCCTACAATTCAATATTGTGAAAATATGAAGATGAATTAGATAAAAACTTCGATAGAGAATTAAAGTACTCAATCTCCAAAGTCAAACAATGAGATGATTGAGTGAAATGCAATTTGAGATGATTTTCAAATTCATATAGAGTGTAAAAATTAAGATGACCGAATTTATTTGATAGTCTTTGACATCAACCGCCTCTGTCTTCTACCCCCCGTAACATTCAAATCAGTAGACCAATATAAAATAACGATTTAGAAATGCAAGTGAAGTCAATTCTCACTCGCTCTCAAGCCTTCAAGAGGGAATAATTCATGGATAATATTATAATATCATGATTTGAATATTATATTATGACTGATATTTGAATTTATTTATTATTCATTCAATGGGGCAAGCCTAGTACAGAACATGAATAATTACAGATTGTGACAATTAGAAAGAGATAACAAATATAGCAATAATTTTGAGATGATAAGACATTAGATATATGGTTATACATTTCACAAGTGATAAGATGAAATAGTAAGGTTTGCACAAGATAAATAAGATGAATAGTTTGAAAAAGCACTATAAAATCATTTATTTATTTATTTACGGACTTGCCATTATACAAAGACCACATAAATAGTGTGATTGAAAAAATAAATAATTGAATAATAATATAGAATACCAAAAAAGGGAAAAAACTAATATCAATTAATTATTAGTAATAATAATCAGCAGTTTCTTCATAGTAGGTCAATACGTTTAACATGATTTTTAAAAGAGTACAAGGATGAGTCAAACAAATCAATATAGCTGCTATTCTTATTTGCTAACCTAAGCATTCTATAGTGATGGTTTCATTTGAGCCATAGCTTGTAGAATGGTAAGGAACTTTAAACAACTCAGACACTCTCGTTATTCTTGAATTTACATCGAAGTTAATCATTTGTGTTACAAATAGACAGTTCATATCACCATTTATAACTTTATGAAGAAGTCTCAGATCAATTTCAGCTCGGCGGTGCTCCAAAGTAGATAAATTCAGAAGAAGTAGAATGTCTGAGTACTCATAGTCGGACCCTCAGATATCCGAGCCGAAATGCACATGATCTCAGAAATTTGTTTTGTACTTTCAATCATATAAAATTAAATTTAACGAAATTATCACTACATAGTATAAAACAAAGTTGCTTTCCGCTGGATTTTGATGCGGGTTTTTTGATAAATAGGGTCATTCAAGAGAAAGGTTTATGTGTGAATAACGTGCATAATATAGTAGAGAAACACTGATAATTTTAGAGGTTTCTAATGTGATGTCGTAAATAAACACTTTTTTTTTGCGCTTACATTCAAAACGCTGGCTGAACCAAACGATACAGATAAAAAAATGTACTACTGTATTGTATACCTTAAAAAGGTGTACAAAAAAGTCCGCGATGGTATATGTCTATCTCTTAGGGATAACCCCCAAAAACAATTTTTTTCCTCGAGAATTAATGGCTCATTTACGAAGCGGTTTTAGGCAATACAGCGATAATCCTCATCCAATTGAGTACCTTAAATACATTGTGCATTTTATATATATCAGCGTTTCCCAAACTTTTTTGCCTGGGGACCCACCTATATTGTGGAATTTTTTTCGTGACCCACATATTAAATAATATTTATTTATTTATTTATTTCAACGGACAAGCCAATTTTTACAAATATCTTTTTATAAATTGTACATGTGCTTACAAACTAAAGATACATCAGATGTTTTTAATCGATTTTTTGAAGGATAATAATGATGAATTAAACAATTCCAGGTTAAGATGGTAATGATTTGCTGATTTCAATATCCTACATATTGTTTCATTCTGACCATAATTGGTTCTACAAAATGGAATTTCAAAAATATCACTATTTCTGGTTCTTCTATCATTCACAGAGAGAGTAGTACAAAGCTCAACTATTTCTGGAGAATCAATATAGCCGTTTAATACTTTGTGGACAAACGCAAGATCTGTTTCAAGTCTCCTATGAGTTAATGTGTTCATGTTCAATATCTGTGAGTAGTTATACTCTCCTCTATTTAATCCTAACTGAAAAGCAACATATCTCAAGAATTTGTTTTGACACCCCTCTAACAACTCAACATCAACATTATAATAGGGTGACCATACAATGGAGTTATACTCAAGAATGGATCTCACTTGTGCACAATAAATCAGTTTTATAGATTCGACACTTAGGTCTCTAGCAGAACGAAGTGTAAAACCTAACATCTTACGGGCTCGAGATGAGGCTTCCGTTATTTGGTACTTAAATGACATTTTTGAGTCAAAAACGACACCTAAATCTTTTATTTTATCCGTTACTGCTAAATCATTCCCATTGATTTTATACGAGTAATCATATACATTATTGATCCTTGAGAAAGTAATTTTTTGACACTTATCTGGATTCAAATGAAAAAGGTTGACGTCACACCAGCTAGAAAACTGTACCAAATCACATTGAAGTGCCTGAGCATCTGATATATTTTGTATTGCTTTGAACACCTTTAAATCATCTGCAAACATTAGAAATGAGCTGGAGGTAAAAACAGTGGAGACATCATTGATAAATAAATTGAACAGTAATGGGCCTATGTGGGATCCCTGAGGAACACCTGATGGCACATTTATCGGTTCAGATATAGAGTTGCCATATTTAACGTATTGAACTCTATTGTAAAGGTAGCTTTGAGTATAATTATTATTACTAATAATAATTTTATTATTATTATCGTGGAAATTCACTATTAAGGAATACACCTCTAAAAGAACATGCTAAAGATATATAATCGAAGATAAAATACAGCACGAAAAAAAATTGTAATTTAGAATCTTAAAACTAAACAAATACCAAAAATGAAAAAAATGAGACTTATAGAATTAATGTGACTAGTGTTTACGATTTACAAGAGATTCTATATCTGGGTTGAAAATTGAAAGCTTTTAAAGCCGGTCACTATCTACACAAAGCCTATTTCTATATTTACTTTTTAAATATACCAAAGTGGAGAATGCCCTCTCACACAAATATGTGGTTGAAAACCCCATCAGCTCTTTTAAGGCTATGTCCGAAAGAACTGGATACTCTCCCCTAGCCTTCATCCAAAATGGGAAAGACAATTGAAAAGTTTTAAGTGGTTTCCGTGATCTACCCAAATTGCTCACGCGGCCCACCAGTGGGTCGCGATCCATAGTATGGAAACCACTGATATAGATCAATATGGCCCTTTATAGCATGTAATTTAAACGAATATTTTCGAACAGAATATTTATATACTACAGATAACCACAATTGAGACTACCTCCAAAAAATTACCTAAACCTCTACCTAAGGTACCTGTTCAATTATGACCACCTGAAGCAAATTACCTCACACCTACATCAATAATAATTGATTTTTAAGAAAACAAGTTCAATCATGGTGATTTATTCAAATCCAGTTGGTCATTCATTTGAATGTTGGAATTTTTAAGTTTATTAATTTGCATTGCTTCCAAATGATTCAGTTTCAAACCTTTATTTTCTATGTGCAAAATTTCGAACTCTTCATTAAAGATATGATTTTTTTCTTAATGATTTGAATATGTTGAATTAGTTTTCTTATTTACATAGCTCATATGATGTTCTTGGATTCGATTCCTCAATGTTCTGCCAGTTTGACCAATATATACCTTAGAACACGTTCCACACTTTAATTTATATACTGCTGATTCGAATTTGGATGTTTTGTCTTTATTATTTTTAACAGATTAGTCAGTGTTCTTCTTTCGATAGATAATTTCAATAAAGAACTTAATATCATCAAGCAAATTGCGGTTAACAACGGGTTCAAATCCGAATTAATAAACAAAATACTTGCCAAGAAAGTCTACGCAAACAACAGAAAAAGTGGCTTCATTTTTGAGGAAACGAGATATTAAAATTGCATACAGAATAATACGTTGAAAAAAAAAACATGTGCAACTGTTGGGGAATACTCAAAAAGAAGCCAAATTGTTTAAGTGATAACATGCAGGATGAGACTAGTTTTGGACTCGGGCAATGAGAAGCTGAAAGAATCTAATTGTTCAAAAGCAATGCGAGTCTTTGAGCAATGGAACAGGTTATAAAAAAATTGGTGAGGAGGAATAGCAAATCTCTTTGTTTTCTCCTCCAAGAAATACAATACAATTTGTTACAGTAATGTATCTTTTGAAAAGGTGTAATTTCTTCACCTTTACAATTCACTGATATAAGGATAATTGGGAGGCAGAAGGTATTCATTATTATTACTATGATTTTAAGCTTGCAACTTTTATATGCGCATTTGATATTGAACCTAGAAAAGAACCTTGTTGCAAATCCACAATGAAAACTATAAACTTCAACAAAAATCCGAATTTCTATTTGAAAATTTACCTGCTCCACTCCTCGCTATCTTCATTGGGGCTATCATGGTCCACTCATTATTTTCGGGATGATAACACTCCCCGGTATTAAGTCTATCGACACCATCATAGCCTCCCACAGCATACAGCAGCCTGTTCACAACCGCCACGCCTACAGCGAGCCTTTTGAAGTGCATTGGTTTTATCATAGTCCAAAGGTCCAGTTCCGGATCATAACTGAAATTGTACGAGTCATGCGTTTGTCGTTTTCAGAAAAATAGTTATCATCAAATTCTCACTGTAAATGTACCGTGTGAGATTTTCACTTGACAGTTTACAAAACTGTGACACGTGTTTCGCTATACAATAGCATCTTCAGACGTCACAACTGTTCCATCCGTGAAAGTTTTGTAAATGTTCATGAAATTAATCCAGTCCTACCCTAATTTGAAATCAGTATACATAATACGTAATAATAGTGGATGACTTAGAAATCATAACTCTTCCTGTCAACCCTTGATTATTATTATGTTTTGTTGTTTAACTTTTATTTCCTAGTAGTTCGCGAATAGAAACAATGGGGAATGTTCCTCCTGACGAAAATCAAATAGTTTTCATAAAAGAGCATTAAAACAACGCATTTTAAACTTATCATTTCAACCTTTTTCTTTAAAAAATTATTTAAATACTTAAAAAAAAGAGGAATGAAATACTGCATTCAACATTTAAAGGGATTCGTTTATATTTCACCATTTGGCAACATCGGTTATAGCTAATAAAGGACAATGAATCTGTTACCTGTATGAGACAAACAAAGATGACACATTTCAGAGGCGTGCTGTTCTGTATACTTATGTTCCGAGTTCCGAGACATTCTGTGACATATGACATTTTGTGCACCTAACCTATCTTCCTCTATATAAATAAGGAACAAAACAACTGTTGTTTTTGTGGCTTGTGAAGGTGGTATTGAACTATAATTTATATTTTGCGTTAATTGTTGATTTATATGGGGAATGTTCCTCAATTTGGGTTATTACAGCAAATGTGAGTTTGAACAAAATAAAGTTGAGTTTAATTCATGAGTTTTTCAACTTCGAAAAGTATTTAAATTGATGCTTCAAATGTTGGGTTTTAATTTTTAAAGGGATTTGTTTCTAATTCACATATTGGCAACAGTGCCTATATCAAGTTGAAATAATTTATACGTAACTAGATATTCTAGTTTAAAAAAGGAAAATTACCTTTATAAATCAACAATTAACGCAAAATTATAAATTATAGTTCAATATCACCTCCAAAATAATTCTTCAAAATAAACTCCAGAAAATCAATGAGTTTGTTTCAAAATACCTATTTCATTTCGATGTTTTGTGATTTGATATTATTGAATATTAAGTTCTTGTTACAATAATGTATAATTTGGAGTAATTTTCTGTGTTAACAAAAAATAAAAATAACTTCGCACCACAAATTTTTGAAAATTATTTTACTCTTCACAAAATTGACCGTGGTTAACACCATAGTTGTGTATTTTGTAATATTACAGGCATTTAAAATAAACCGTCGTATATTGTATTTTGTTGGTGTATGATTAGTTTTAGGGGATGCACAAACTTTTATCAAGAATAACTTTTTGTCGAAAAACCCTTAATAAATAAATTTCCCATATGGTGCATACTTTGGGGAGGACACTGTATAATAATATACATATAATCATCTCTATCGTATGTATTTGAACAAAATAAACTTGTTTACAACCCATGGAGTTGAACAATGACTCTCTAAAAGTGCCATGGCAACAAAAAAAATAATCTCTGACAGGCCTTGCTCAAGTTGATAAGGAAGTTGATTGAGCACACTTCAATGTGTACTCAATGACTTGATTTAATGTTAATCTCAAATAATGTCATGTTACTTATTTATTCATCTGTTGAACTGATATGAGTTACACTTGATTGATTTTCCTTTACACTGGAAAACCTCATTCGGTGGAAGATTTTTTCACTTATCATACTATGATGTGAACAAAGGAATACAAGACACATGCTATGATAGAAACAGTGATTGGCCCTTGTTTTGAAACATTATATTTTTCAGTGGTTGGTTGGGATGGCGTGAGTGGTTTGTTTCGCCCATTAAATCGACCTTCAGATGAAATGATGGGTCAAGCCGCGAAGCCGGACTATAGATTTTCATTGCCTATTGTCCAACGCGTGCTGGGAATTGCACGCTGAAGCGTAACACCTCGTTAATCCTTAGCTCGCTCGGAAAAATATATTATCAAACAGATTTTCAATTTGGATAATAGGTACTCTAGGTTTTCACAGATATATCGCGTTCTCTAGTGAAAAAGATTTTTACAGCAGAGAAAAAATTATCACAAAGATGAGATTTCTTCTGGGATTTATTCTCTGTCGTATATTCAATATTGAAGCAGGTTCAGTTTCGTACACCTTTTGCTTCAAATAGCCCCATACAAAAAGTCCAAAGGAGTCAAATCTGGCGAGCGGGCTGGCCATTCTGTACGACCTCGATGGCCAATTCAACGACCGGGAAAAGTAGTATCCAAATAGTTTCTTACTTGTCTGGAGTAATGTGGTGGTGATCCACGCTCCATCTTGTTGGAATACAATATCCATATCGAATTCATTAGGATTCGTTTCGACGATTTCATTGATGAGAGGGTCAACAGTAGTTTCCAGTATATTCAAATACAGTTCCGCTGTTAAATTTTGGTCAATGAATAGAGGTCCTACAATATGGTTTCCCAATATTCCTGCTCAAACGTTAATTTTTTCTGGATATTGGGTATGTGTTTCCCGGAAAATGTGAGGGTTGGTGTCACTACAATAACGGCAATTTTGTCTATGAACATTGCCGTTTGAAAAAAATGTACATTTGTCACTAAAACAAATATTGTGGAGATAGGTAGTATGCCTTGCAATGGTTTCCATTATGATTTCGTAGAATTTTGTTCTTTGATCAGGGTCATCTTCAGTTAATTGATGTACCATTTTAATTTTGTAAGGATGATACCTATTTCTCATCAAAATTGTCCACACAGTAGAAGGAGACACCTCACAAACATTCGCGACAGAATAAGTAGACTGTTCAGGATTTACTACCTTCTCACCAATTATTTGCACTTGCTGTTCTTCCAGAATGGACGGATGACCTGGGGGCTTTTTGTAATGTACACTACCGGTAGTTGTGAATTTGGATACAAGTTCCCTCAAGTATTTTCTACAGATAGGACGATTCGGAAAACGTTCATTGAAAATCCTTTCGGTCTCGTGAAAGTTACGCGTCGCACCGTAAATAAAAATCGTTTAAATTTTTTCTTCCAATGGACGAGAATTGACCATTTTAGAGATTGTTGACGTGGTACCTTTCTACTAGTAAAACCGAAAACTAAATGAGAATATTCTAACTGAACAATGTTCATTGTCGTACTGACATTTTTTGACGTTTTTATAAACAAAAAATAACTTAGCGGGTTGTTGGAATTGCCATATGGCAGATGAAACGGAATATTTCTAGAAATATCGATATTATTGTCCTTGTATTCAGGAAATTATTGAATGTTCCACCATTTTGTAGTAGGAGAAGATATTGACTTCATATTCTAGGGTTGTGAAGTATTCGTCAGGAGCTTCAAATTGATGTGTCACAAGACGCCCCTTTCCATTTAATTTTTTTCCCAGATGGCACCCAGTCGCCATCTTGTAAGTTTCATTTGTCAATTTAAATTCAAAATAAAGTATTCATGCATTAATTTCATTATACCAAATTTCAATTGTTTGAGTTGACCTGATCAAAAAATAAAAGGGGGGGACATTAAAGAAATGCACTGTATAATTGAACTGAAAATAAATTCATTTCTCCAGTCATTTCCTGATTGAATTAGGACGACTAAGAGAAATTTGCACCAGAAGTGTCAACATTCATAGAGGTACATTTACAAAGTAAATGGTTGAATAGAGTTGTATATAAAACAAAGCAAACTCACAATTCCACACTGCTGTGGTACCTGGATCCTTCACTACCACCCACAGCATACAGAAGTCCATCTAGAACAGCCACTCCCACTCTATTTCGTGGCACAGACATTGGATTACAGGGCCTCCAATGGTCTTTGATAGGATTATATTTATCCACCCAATCCGAATCATAACTGTTGCCGGGACTGTTGTTCCTTCCTCCGACGGCATAAAAATATCCCTAGAAATGTATGATAATGATAATAGTCATGTCAATAAATTGAACAGGAATGGTCAAGTAGAGAAGCAGAACACAATTATTACACAACATTTGAATTCAACATGCATGTCGAATCATAGCCATAGATATGAACACTATCTCACAATATAAAGTAACAATACCGTGTTGGGGATCACACGTTAAAAGGTAAGACCTCGTTAATCCTTAGCTCGCACAAGTTTGACTTCTGAGGGTTGTCGTTCGTAAGGATGTGACAACTGGTTAACGGAAAAACAGATTTTAAACAGAAACAGACAGATATGAAAAATAAAATCTGGTTCACGCACTATCAGACCACCATCTCAGTCAGAAGAGAGGAGTCATCTCTACTCTAACTGAACGGGCTCGAAGAAAATGTGAACCAGAGCATCTAGAGGAAGAACTGGAACATCTTCAAGTAACCCTGAGATCAAATGGATACAGTGTACCCGAGATCAACAAAGCCATGAAACTGAAGAGTTTCACGGTTCAAAATGGGGAAGATACTCAGATGATTGCACATGCGTATCTACCATATATTCCTAGGGTCACAGACAGAATTGTGACCCTGCGACATTGCAGGAAGCATTAGCGAGTTCAATCTCCTCCATAAAATCCTGTAGCGTTGTCTGTCTGAGACGCCAGATATGATTCTCAGGAATCTTTTTAGCGAAAAATATATTATTTGCTTGTGTGAAATAACCCTAAAACTCACTCCATACCTCAACCTTGATTTAACCACCTCATATTAAATTTTGAGTAGGTAGGTAGGTAGATCTAAAGTGAGTAGGTCTTTTCGACCCTCCACCGCAACCCACAAGGGTTTATTGTGGCTCACACCTATTCACACATGGTATGTCATCATTTTCCAGGCAGAGGCGACACACACTGTCTTCCGACAGTCCGAGTCTCTGTATATGATGATTGAAATGACAGTGACCTGTAAAAAGGCCTGTTAGATATTGTAGTTCATCCCTACTGTAGTCCAACAACTGTTTGGTATCGCTTATCGGCCCTTGGCTAGGATCAAAGTGTAGTAAATGTTGAGTAGTCGTCTTTCCATCAAGTTATAATGTAACTTTTTACTTAATAGTTTAATGAATTCAGGGCATTAACGAGCCTATACCATTGGGTTTTGTATATCCAAAAAATTCACGACAGCTGAACTTCACATCACTTGATTGTTGAAAAATTTTAGATTGAGTTTCAGACTGTATAACTGTTTGAAATCTATTCAACTATTATAGAATTGTATTCATTTTTGAGATAAAGTGAGCTGGCTTTCGAGAGAATTATAGAATTGATTCTGGAGTATTGTATTATTTATACTAGAAGCAATTACAGTGGTACCATCAACGAATATCATTAGAACAATATCACACATTTTCAACTTGTCCATATCATTAACAAACAATATGGGCATTATTGGACCCAATCCAGAGCCATGTGGCACTCATGTAATTAATTTTAGTGCAGAGGACTCTATTTATGTTTGTATCTTATTATTGATATTGGTACAACTGACACCCCAAACAACACTGGAAATCCTATGGATATCCAATGGACTTGAAAATGAATATCCTATGGACATCCATGAGATATTCAAAACATGCAAGAAATCTTGTGGATATACAGCCTGTTATGCTCCAAACATCCATAAGATATCTGTTGGACATGAAGCACTCATGTAATTAACTTGAGTGCAGAGGACTCCATTTCTGTTTGTATCTTATTATTGATATTGGTACTACTGACACCCCAGACAACACTGGAAATCCTATGGATATCCAATGGACTTGAAAATGAATATCCTATGGACATCCATGAGATATCCAAAACATGTAAGAAATCTTGTGGATATACAGCCTTTTATACTCCAAACATCCATAAGATATCTGTTGGACATAAATTGGACATCCAGTGGATATCCATGGGATATTTGAGTGTTATCTGGGACATTGATTTTTAAAATGTCTCAAGAAAGATGTTATCCAATTAACGAGCAGTATTTTTCATTCTACAGGTCTTGATACTTTCAGAACAAAGATTTTTTGTGAAACATACATTTAAAAAAGCACCTCCAAGTCCGGATCTAGGCACCGTGAGTCGGTCCAGAGTGTACCACATTTTCTCGTCAACGTTGTAACCTTCTAGTACGTCCAGGGACTGTTTGTAGTAACCTCCGGCAATGTATATGACACGTGGAATGTTCGGACATCGTTCTTTAACGACGGTTTTTATGTGTAAAGTCAAATCCTGAAAAAATGTCACAGATATACAGCGAATCAAGATATCGAAGTGGGGTAGAATCTCTACAAAAGATTATGGATTGCATATAATGAATTGATAGTGAGAATTTTCCAAGTACAAGTTTTTATTTACCAGCTATAGAAATAGAAAATAAGTTTCAAATCAAATCAAACTCATCAATTAATCACATTATACAATTTTTATGATATAAAAGCTTTCCATAGTACTTGCTTAATTAGCAAATTTTAAATTGCCCATTCTGAAATCTTCCGTCATTAGAGATTCTCTCATTTATAAGCGTTTGAAAATATCCAATTACTTATGTTTATAATGATAACAAGACACTTTTTAATTTGATATGCGCTCCAAAAAATCATTGAATTCCAATATTTGTATGTTATTTTCTCACAATCGCAGGTTGGTGGATATTTTGAATACCTTGCTGTATTATTAAGGAATAAAGAATGCTGATTTGTGAAGCAAATTATTGTAGCATGAAATGGGAAAGAATTAATTGCGAATGGGTTAACAATATGTGAAATATCAATAATTATTGTTTGTTTGTAACACGACACGCTCTCACAAGAAGTATTTGAAGAATCATACGAAATACAAGTTTTGAATTTTGTAGGCTGGGGTTTTCAGAAAAACTTCAAGTTTTTATTGAAGTGATTACTTATGGGAGGGTAAACCACTTCGTTAACTAACGCGTAACGCCTTCAGTTTGTCGCGCTTTACTTTCTCTCAAGCATTAGTCAGCAGAAGGCAGGCTCCTCCTCTCTTGTTGGACAGACGCTCAGTGTTCAGTGTGCGTTGGACATGTACTGTTGATAGTATTATGAAAATCTAACCAGCAAGCACGTAATATTATTTTATTATGTGAAAAGTGGCTTAAAAATAATGATACTAATTTTGTGTATGTTCATTATTAGTATCATTACTCAAAACTACAAAAGTAACAATTGGCTATAATATATGTACATACACAAAATAATCAATTAAAAATGTTATTAATAAATAACCTTTTCTTACATTATCATGATGATATACATAAAATTTAGGTAACAATCTAAGCTTTCCTCAAGTTAAACAATTTAAATATTGAATAGTTCAACTTAAATAAGTTTCAGTTATCACTTCTGTCCTGCGTCCAGCGACGCATACGTTTTTTTATAGTTTCAATAACTCTTCATTATGTAGAGCCAGATGATAATTATTTACTGTATCGTCATGGGTTTTTTTTTTCGAGATTTGTTAGAATGACATGGCAAATATTTAACGGAAGTTCAGTGTGTGACAATATTTATTTCCAAAGTAATGAATAAATTTAAACAGATGACTCGGCAATAAACTTATCACTTTGATAACAGGTAAATTACGTCAAGAGATACTCACAATAAGTATTTTGGGTGCTGAATTATGATAAAGAAAAAAATAAGATGTTTATGTTACTACCTGTAGTACTAACTCTTTTATTGGAAATTTCATGAATACACTTCACAATTTAATTATCACTAACTTCTGATGTACTATGTTGCTATATGCTATATTGCTAGATATTGAGCTTCAAAAGCCTGTTATTTCTAAATAAGTGCTATATATAAGTGTTATTTCTAAATAAGTGCAATATAATTTTCACCTAACATTGAGCTTCAAAAGCCTTTTATTCCTGAAGTGTTATATTTCTTTACCCCCACAGTGAACTTCAAAAGCCTGTTATTTCTAAAATGATATATCGCTATATATTGAGCTTCAAAAGCTTATTATTCCTGAAGTACTATATATTCTTTATTTTCAGTCATTTTTATTCGTTGAAGAATGAATGAGGTTCTAATTTTATGTATTATCCTCTGAAATTCTATACATTTCAAGGATAATCCAATGTACACGTTTATTCATCTAAGATGATAACTAAAAGTTGGCAAAGTTTCTCGGCTTTCTACTTCATCACATTCATGCAAAAAATTAGGGAAAATTCCGGAGGGAGAGAAAAAACAGCCAAGTTCAATACAAACTCTCTAAGAAGATGTGTGCATAGAAGTTACTTTCAGATACAAAGTGGAAAAACGCCTCTTAAAACAACTACTTTCATATGAACATTAAATTACACCTATTCTTAATGAACGAAAGCATTTTTTTGTGGAGGTAATCGAATTTTTTATCGATTTTTTTTTGGGTATTTTAACCCTCACAATCAATATTAACGTTTCTGAGGCTCAAATTTGCCTCTGTCTTCAGAATTGTAAAAAAAATGTATTTTTTATAAAAAAAATGTATTTTTTTATAAAAAAATAGCCACACTGATGATTTGAAATCAAAATAATTTGTTCTCCGTACAGGAAAATAATGTTTTCCACAAATAACGTCCCAATCACTCTTTAGTTATTCCCGCTGTTTGAACACTTCGAACAGGAAGAATAAATAACAAGTCCCTAATGCCGGATATTTGGAAGTGATGGAGAAGTAAGGCATCTTCCTAGCAGTAAAAACGATGAAAAATATTTTGAACAAGCAAAATAAATTCAGTTTAATATTCTATTCAAACTTTTCCGACGTAACACGACTTTTTTCAAAGTTTATTGTTCTATTTTGCTTGGTCTAGCCTCCCAGAAGAGGCGAGAAGAGGGCTTTAGCAATCCCGTTATTATTTTTAATGTCAACTTACCTTAAAAATCCTAGCTAAATACTCCTTGCAGGCCGGCGCTTTCTTAATGACGTCACAAGTCTTCATTTGCTCGTTGAGGAATCGAGGCGGAAGAAACTGGCATCGCACCCCAGACAAAATACCCTCCATTTTTGCTTGTCGCGATTCTTCGTCGTAACGCACCCACTTGAGTACAGCATTGTACACCTCTTTCTCGTCTTGGACGTTCAACTCGTCCTTCATTATCAAACTTACCAACTGATACGAATTCAGTTGTAAGAATTCCTCCTCTTGGCATATCTAAAAAATGCGAAACGTGAGAAAGGTGTTGGAATTAGACGAAGCGGAGGAACAACCTGACTGAAATATCGTTCAATGTACTGGTTTGCCTTCTTGCATAGGTCGATGCAACCGTGCTGTTCTGCAAAAGTCGCAATACCTATCGCGTTGCTCGGATCCAGCTGGTGCTCTAGAAAGTCGCAGCAAGCCTGGATGACGTTGCAAACCTGAGAAAACAAAAAAACGTTCATACGGTTTACTTCCTGAAGTCAATCAGGATCTTCAATCCAAGCACTATAAGTCTTGCCCCAGGATGACAAAAAAATTGTGAAAATATTCGTTATCCCAATCAACTTATCATTTTTGACAAGTATTTTTCCTGATAATCTTAAAATTGCGTATGTTAAAGCTATCTTCAAAAAGGGAAATAAACAAGGAATAATCAACTATAGGCCCAATGGAATACTGTCAAATATTAGTAAAATCTTTGAAAAAATAATATACAATAGACTGATCACGTATCTAGAGAATAATAATTCTTCAAAGTGATATGAAGAATGGATTTAGAAAAAAGAAATCTACTACTCAAGCCAACTATCAAGCTCTATATAAGGTAATTGAATCTATCAATAGTAAAAAGGCTACAACAGCTGTCAATCTGGACTTATCCAAGGCTTTTGACAGTGTTGACCATAGACTACTGATCACAAAACTGTCGTTCTACGGTATCAGAGAGCTGCCACTCGAACTAATTACGTCCTATTTGAAAAATAGACAGCAATGTGTTATTGAAAGGAATACTGATGGAAATCTAATGAAATCAGAAATGCTATATATTGTAAGAGGTGTACCCCAGGGGTCAGTGTTGGGACCACTACTATTCATTCTTTACACTAACAATGTGCCTGAAGTTGTTGATGAATACATGGTTCAGTATGCCGATGACTGTTCTGTGGTTTTCAGTTCAACCGATAACAACTACCTACTAGCAAATATCTTTTTCAAGCTAAAGATTCTGGAAGAGAACTTTACATCACACAATCTCAAACTGAACAAAAACAAGACACAAACCATATCTTTTACCCAAAACGACAAAAATAATACTTTTAGTGATGGTGTAACTATTTTAGAACCAGTGACCCAACTTTCCTTTCTTGGAATTATAATTGACTCAAAGCTGGACTGGAAGAGCCACATAGATGAAGTGGCAACATAAATGTCAAGGTACTGCTGTGCCCTGAAAATAATTACACAAAATATATCCACTGAGGCTGCGATGTTAGCATATAACGGTTATATTCAGAGTCACATCAGATATGGCATTATGTTCTGGGGAATGTCTGCACATACACAAAAAATATTCATATTGCAAAAACGGTGTCTCAGAATAATATTCGTAAAAAAAAACTATTAATACTAACAGGTCTCTATATTTATGAATCTGTGGTATTTGTCAAAGAAAATACATCTCTTTTTGCGACTCATGATAGGAACCATACCCACAACATACAAAACAAAAATAACCTTTTGAATATAAACACATTTGACCTATATTCAAAAAAATATACCTTTTTCAGTCACTAATATTTATAACAAGATACCTGAATTTCTCAGAACTTTGTCTTCTATGATCATGAAGAATAAATTGAAAACTTTGCTTCTCTCCAAAGCTTATTATTTGCTGGAAGAATTCTTCAATGATCATTTGAACTGATGTTGTTCGCATTGAATATTTCATGTCGTATCATTCTGCATTGTGTTTAGTCTCTTTTAGTCATTGTGTAGTTTAGTCTCTTTTGAACCTTACATGTATGTTCGTGTTCTGTATCTAATATAATAATATTACATCAAGTTTATTGACTGTGATAACCTTGTTATTCCTACATCTGTGGCCATTTATATTCTTAACCAATATTAATGATATTTCTTCATGATTTTCTACTACTTCTGCAATGTTTACTGTAATTGACATGTTCTACACCTGAAAAGGTTTTTTATTACAAAGAACTAATAGAGGATATTTATCTATCTATCTATCCATCAGTGTAAAGGCCCAATGAAACAAGTGAATGGTGCACGGTAATTCCCATACATTGGTTATTTATAACTCGGCTACTTGATAAGCGAGTATTGTATATAATAATAATTCTGAATGAAATGGAAATAGTTTTGGTATATCCTGAATCCTATTAATCCTCTTCACAATGAAGAGAAGAGAGGAATGGAGAATCGCTCTTCTGGGTGTATTAGTGAAAAGACGAGTGGCAGACTGGGACATGAAGTATACGGAAAACCAACCTATATTTGAATAAGCACTCCAGAAAAGAGTGGTTATTAAGACTCTGGTAGAAAAGGCAAGACATGTCTGCGAACCGGAAGGACTACAAGAGGAAATGTGTTATCTGACTCGTTTGACTGAACAAAAAAGAAGTTGCCGTTAAGGCCAACCAGATAAATCGGCAGTTGCAGATCACGCTCTCTCAGAGGTAGCCATTGATCTCTAAAAACTTTATTTGAGAAATATATCACGACATGTAGCTTCTTCCACATTGATTTTCAAATCAATGTTGAAGAAGCATTGTGTTCTAAAAGTTACTACCCGAGAAACCTCCAGTTCAGTATAGCAAACTGAGGTACCTCAAGGTTAGTAAAGACCTGACCAACTTAAAAACCAAACCATACCTACCTGGAGCATGGTAGCTGCTGGCAATAGTTGGCAAACATTATTTTCCGTAACTCTTATCCTGCCGGTATACATGAAATTGATGAGCCTAGCTAATGCCGTCGGCGACACCCCCTGTAACTTAACTCTATTCATATCACATTCTTTCAGTCCTCCGGTAAACATGGCCTTGAAATACGGACTGGCTGCTGCCAGGACCACTTTATGGGCGTAAAACACGTCTTTTCCCACTTCTAATACTACGTCAGTCAACATCTGGTGGCTCCTCATCAAATCCATGGCCTGCAAGAATGTCACTCTTTTCATGTGGAACTTACAGTTCCAAACTATCATATTACCTTCATAGCGTCCTTCAGATAATCAATGATGGTTAGTATGCCCGTCTCCCCCAAACTACCATTCGTGGTTTTCAGGTTGTTTCTTGAACAATAGGAATACCGGTCATCTTCCGTTTCCATGATAGCCCTGGAACAAATTGAATATGCTTACTCGAGAGAAATTAATCTCTGACAGGTATACAACTATAATATCAAAAACTATTTTGTAAATACTAGACCTAGTCTAGTTTAGGTCCAGACATCATCAGAAGATGGCAAATGAGACTTTGCTGAAACATCGTGGAAATGATCCTTGTGAGGATCAGAAACACAGAACACGGAATGATATATAATCGAGAAAGGTTAATGCAGTCAGTCTACACATAGTCTAGGACCTAGTCTAGTTTAGGTCCAGACATCATCAGACGATGGCAAATGAGACTTTGCTGAAACATCGTGAAAAGGATCCTTGTGAGGATCAGAAACACAGATCACGGAATGATATATAATCGAGAAAGGTTAATGCAGTCAGTCTACACATAGTCTAGGACCTAGTCTAGTTTAGGTCCAGGCATCATCAGAAGATGGCAAATGAGACTTTGCTGAAACATCGTGAAAATGATCCTTGTGACGATCAGAAACACAGAACACGGAATGATATATAATCGAGAAAGGTTAATGCAGTCAGGCTGCTGGAAAATAATTCCATGAAAATCAAAAGATAAATAGATAATTACTATTCAGATCATTCCTATAATGATTTCAATTTAAGAGCCACCAGTAGACAGCTTTTTCAGCCTCTTGGGTATCGTCAGTACCGGGCAGGCGGTCCTCGATTGAAGACAAAATGTGAATAACAAAAAAAATACTTGATAAAAATAACCGTGTTAGGAATCACACGTTAAAAGGTAAGACCTCGTTAGTCCTTAGCTCGCACAAATTTCTCAACTTCTGAGAGTTGTCGTTCGTATGGGGGCGACAGATGATTAACGAAAAAACAGATTTTAAACAGATTTTTTTTAAAACAGAAACTGGGTAAACGCAAGCGAGACATAAAAGTAGGACCACCTATTGGTGTGATACCCAAGTCGACTTGCCAAGTTTTTATGTCAGTGTTGGTGGTTTGACAAATCAACCGACAATAAGTGAACAATCAAATTCCGTGCTGCTTTGTACCGGCTGGTTACCTGTTTTTATAGCTCCATTTTAACCAAATAGTAATATATACAGGGTGTCCCTGGACTTCCTCTTTTCCTCTCGGGAATGTATAGATGGGGTCAAAATATCATCAGTACTTCATATAACTTTTTTTCCTAAAAG